AAAGCCCGGAGCGTCTGACCATCCGAGTGTCTGACCATCTGGGTGTTTGAGATGTCTGGGCGATTCTAGCTTCCCTACGTCTGAGGGTGGCGGAAAACCGCAACCTGTGTCGGCAAGCAACTGCAACCTGTGTGCGCATGTGCTGACAGCTCAGGCGAGACGAAAAGAAACATGCCTGGAACTGCGAGGGCGCTGCGCACGGGCCAGGCATGCGAAGGCAGGCCAGCACGTCACAAGGGCAAATGGCCGGGATGGAAACAGGCGTGGATCGGTGTGTGGCGAGCACGACGGCGAGCTTGCCGGATCTGAACTGCGGACACAGGTGCAGTTGTTCAAGAAGCTTCCACAATATTCTGCTGCATGTGCTGTCACAGCATTGCAGCAAACCGTGGCGCGAGTTTCGTGTGGAAGTGCACAAGAAGAGTTGAAGCATCCCGCAGAGTATCCCCAGAGTGCTCACCCCTAGAGAAACCCGCTGCAGAGCATTCCTAGAATGCCACCGTCACCCAGAATTCTGCCGGCAGGAGTCAGTAAAATCGAACACAACCCCGTGCCACGAGCGGAAAAAAACCCGAAGACATCGGCAGCAACTGCAGAAAATCACTTGCCAAAAGACTTAAGCTTGCGGAGAGTGTGATAGATGCTGAGGGGCCGCATCGAGATTACCTTCTGACTCCAGGCACATCTCCACACCACAACCACACACACACACACACACACACACCAACAACACACACACACACACACACACAGAGTTCGAATCTGCATCCTCGGCATCCGCAAACAAAGCCTGACTACAGACCGCACCAAAGTACTCTCGTACAGCTTGCCTTCCCAGTCTGAATAGACGCAGCCCCCAGTCGCCCAGGATCTGGGAGTTGAAAGCATGCACAAAGACAACTGCAACTTGCCAAGTGACATGTGAACTCAGTAGGATCGCTGCTGGCCATGCTTGGAAGGATGTCTCACCTCAAAGCAGAGGCCGGATCAACCTTTTGCGATTGCCACAGCCAATCTCACCTTCCAATCTTGCTGGGAAGTGAAGCCCAATGGAGCAAGAAGTAGTTGTCCTGGCAAGTGACCGTTAGCAAAGCAGCATAATTCACATGATGAGGTCCTGTGGATCCGGGGATCGCTCGGATAACGAACGCCTTACGAGGGATTGCTGCTAGAGCTGCTGGAATGCATGTGTCCTGACATACAGACGATGAGAGACTGAGAAATGAGCGAAATGTGGAAGAACCACCTGAGAGCGAGAGCTGCAAACAAAATGCCTTTTCCCTTACTGCATCCTACCACAGCTTCGTGCTATGTGCAATTCGTTGGTCTGCTGGGCTACTGCTGGGCTCATGACCACGATAAAGGCACCACATTGGAACCATCCCCATGGTCCACCCTCAAGCGGACAGAACGCCAAGATATGCCAAGTGACATCCAGTACTCAGAGTGGCAGAGCAAAAAATGCGCCGAAAGTCGCGGAAGGTTGGAATGAAGGGTGGGAGGGCACGCTGAGCATTGGCGCTAGGCCTTCTTGGACAGCCCCGGCAAGTCCGGCTCCAGGGTCAGCGTAAGCGCCACCACGGCATCTGGATGGCATGAAATTGTGCAAGGCAAGCTGCTTTCATACGCAAGAAGGGAACGAGTCGTCAAAATTTTACACATGCCATTCGACCTTTCTGCTGGGCTTCCGTTCCATTGCCTCTCCGTGGCATGATTGCAGCGACATGGCTTTACTTGGATCCCGGAAAGGCAAAGCAACCGCAAGCACAAAAAACAACACAATTAGCTGCAGGGGAGATCCTTCGCTGCTTAATCGATCATCCAGCTTGTTGTAGACCTGGAGTGATCAAGGAGTGGGGGCTGTATTTCCATGGCCGGTGCCCAGCCTCGCACCGTGATGTGCCGGGTCAAGGCTTTCGCCTTGCATGATTCGGAAAAGCAGCGCAGGCGCCCTGCTCAGACCCGGTCTAAAAAGCGCCTGGTCTCGTTCGCATACGCAGACTTCCTGGCACTTCATGCAATTCAATTGCAACTCAATTGCGATTCAATTGCGTCTGCGCGATTCTCCCATTGGTCTGGGCATGCTGCTGGTCCAGTCTGTGGGGTAAAGACCTGCGGAGCTGAAGCAAACGGGGGAGCATTTCAGAGTACATTCAAAGTGCATCTCAATGGCTGCAGGGATAAGTTGGAGCCATCATGAGCCAAGGCAAAAGGCAACGTGATGCAGCGGGCCTGGGGGCAACTGGGCTGGAAGTTCCCTGCGGCATCCTGCAGAGTTTCGGAAAAATACGGAACTTGCGGAATGTGGGAGGGGAACGGGAACTCGTCTCTTTTTCGTGTACTGCGCATGTTTAGCAGAGTTCACCAGAGCTTGACCTCAAGTGTCACCTGGCTGCTGCGCTCAAGGTACCAAAGGCCCCGTCCCAGAAGAACGTTCCAGTGGCAGCGTTACACTGATCACCTCGGCACGCCAGAGGGCATGGGACCTATAAAAATGTGACATCATGTGACTGATGGGGAGCCGGCCGAAGCTGCCGGATGCAGGGCAAAGACGACGGATAAGGTGACGGCTGCTCGCTCTGAGGAATGTGCCCCAAAAAATGCCATGCGATGCATTCGAAATCACACTGAAAGCTTGCGAAAAGCATGCCCGCATGTCACGGGCAGAAGCCACAAAAAGCATCGGGATCTCTGTCAGACCCGACCCTCTCCAGGGTTTCAAGGTTCGGGACTCCTTCTTCTTTCACTATTCAGGGGTTTGCCAATGTTCTTCGGCGACTGGGTTTGTTGCATCGTGTCCACGGCTTGTTCATTCCTTAACCCCAAAACCCCGAACAAGACCACACCAAGCCTCAAGAGCATCTTAAGGGCAGTAGTGCAGAATATAGCCTTCAGGCGTCAAGCCACCAAAGCATTAACCGTTGCACAGAAAATGCTGAAGGGAGTTAGGCCCTGTAGAAAGCAAATAACATAGAAGCAATCTCAAGTCGCAAATGCGGAGCGTCATAGCAAGTGGCAAACCCCCAGCCAGAATCAAGAGAGACATGATGGTGTGGCCAGTGGTGGCGGCCAGTAGTGGCTGTGCATGGGAGTGGGTGGCGGTGTGATGGTTGTGTGGTGGCATGAACAGTGTTGGGGCATGTTAGGAGTACCATGACTGGTCCGTGGGTCTTTCGTGGCTACGCGTTCTGTGTCGGTGCTTTGGGGAGGTGGCAAAGGTGCCGCAGGTTTGGATTTGCTGGGAGAGAAAGCAGATGAGGGGGTAGGGAGGATGGGGGGGGGGGGGAGTGGAGGCAAAGTGAATTCAGACACTCACAATCCAGCGCCGATGGACTTGCGCGCGCGCGCGGCGCGCGCGTGAATGCAACCCCAACCCACTTTCTTCATTCGGACATCCATCCGGTGCTGTTAAGATGAGGAACCCAAAAAAGCTCAAAAGTGAAAGACTGTAAGAACAACATGAGACGGGCAGTGGGAATTGAGCGGGATGAGACAGGAAGTGATAGTGATCTGAGACAGGACGGAAGGCAGAAGGCAGGAACATGAGTCATGAGAGGAAAGCGCGAAGGGTCTTACGGTCTTACTTTCCTCACTTCGTTCAACATGTGTACTATCACTTTGTCTCACGTGCTTCTCGCCGCTTTCTCACTTCATTGTCACTTGTCCTCACTGAGCCACGTTGCAAACGACGCCGTCTCTGCCTACTTTGGAATCGAAAGGTAGCGCCAGAGTCGCAAGAGTAAAGAGTCGCAAGAGTCGCAAGAGTCGCAAGGAGATGCGCAGACTGGCTAGACATGGCTACACCTATATATTCGATGCCGGAAACAACGTTGGGTACAAACAAAGAAGAAAAATGGATGAAGAGGAAATGTTGGGAAGCTTAGTTGGCTGGTCATGGAACGGAGATGTCACATGTCACAATAGGAGCTCTCCGCAGCCCGCACCGGTCGCCGTGGCCATCGAGAATCGCACGGGGTCTCCGGGGTGACATGAAAATGGCTGAAGAATCGTCATACCTGTCCGATCACATCTTATGGCCGGCAGAGGGTTTCAAGTGCACTTGCAGTAGAATACCCGTCTGGTGTTTGCTCATCATTATCCTTCGAAGCTCGTCACTGACCTCACGAGAGGCAGGCAAAGATAGGCAAAGCATGCCGCACATCCGCCAGGAGCCCAGGATCAACGGCTAAGCACGTGACCGCGAAGTCACGGATAGATAAACCAGTCCGTAGCAGAAGAGGATGGAGAAGATCAACATCCTGCATTCATCGACACTCTCGACATTCTCATGTTCTTCGCAAACCAAGGATGTCAAGATTCCAAGCCAGATCGAGCAAGCTTTCACGCTTGTGAGGCAGCCTGTACTAGGCGGAGGTGGAGTACGATGGGGTTGCCTGGGCATACGGGCTTCCACGCCTACGTCTTACTTCATTCAACTCCGAAGCGCATAAGATTCGTCGATACTTGCAGCCACCACACAGGCGTAGTTGTGCTGCCGAACAAAGATCATTTACTTCGGCGGACTGTCTTGAGCCAAAGCCTTCAAGCCGAGACAACGAGGAAGTGCTGCTTGCGCTTGCTTGCCGAGACTCTTGCACCTCTGGCCCCGAAGCCAAAGGAGCACAAGGGAGAGCTACACAGAAGCACACAACATTTTGGCGTTGCTCCGTAGCTCGTACGCACTTTGCGCAGCTTTTGCGGGCCACTCATGAGGCAGGCCGCAACATGCCGTGCTTCGCCATCTGGCCTTCCGCTGTCCGTATGTTGTTCTGTTGTTTTGCAGAACTTGCAAAGATTTGCAACGCACAAGAACACGTTCAAGCCGTGCTCCTGGCCCCAGCAATCGCTCGCCGAGGTCTGGTCCGGGGGAAGGCTCACGGGCCTCGCCTCGGCCGGCACTGGCGTACTCAGCAGAAAGCCGAGTTAAAACGCCGCAACGATAACAAACACAGCGACAAGACTGACAACGTCGTGTCACAAAAGGCCCTCCAGCGCCGTGGCTACACGTCTCCACGAGCTTCCCCTGTCCGCTGCTTGGCATGTGTCCTGCGAAGTCTCTGCTCCTGTCCGAACAGAGAATGAAATTAGGAAGGACCCTCCGATTCTGGCATGCTTCTGTGTTTTCGGCTTTGTCTTCCATGGACGTCGTGTTGTGTTCCACAGCTCCCCAATACTCGACTCCACTCCCAGGCCTGGATGGGTTCCAGGCCGTCCCTTTCTGCCAGTGGCCGCGAACCCTGGCAAATTTTAGCGGGTAGGTGAAGCTCCGCTCTTTTCGCGTCTAAATGTGAACTTCCGGGTGAGGATAGGTGAACATTGCCCACTATTGCCCACTATTGCCCACGCATCCTGTCTGCATCTACGTTCATCCAAGTATCAGAGTTGGCTCGCAACCACTCGGCTCTTGCCTTGGCTTCGAGGAAGCTGTAAGGAAAGAGCTAAGGCTGAATTGCTGTCCACCTGAAGTCCAAAAAATTCCCGATCGAAGGACCTCTGCAATGGACTCTGCGCCAGTTTTGATGCCAAGTCTCTTTGGCGCGCTCCTCGATCTCCCGCGGCTTCTGGGGCCTGGATCCTCGCTCCACTCGCTCCATGCGCTTGATCATGAAGCTGGAGAGCTGCAGCTTGATCAACACTGCCTCCTCCCGTCGCCGTTGCGTCGGCCACAGATCTACAGCATTCTACAGCCACCACCTTTTAGGAGAGAGAAATGGTAACATAAGACACCTGGGCATCTTGCCGAGCCCATAAAGTAGCGTCCTGCGCCGCAGATCCCAGAGCGTGTCCTCTCTCAGGGCTGGTGGACGGATACTCATGCTTTGTGGGGCACGACAGGGCGTCCTTCTTCCTTCTCCTCCAAAAGCAAGTCCACATCCTTTGCCTAGGGCGCGCTGTTCCAGCATGGATAATGTTCACTTCCCTTCAAAAACCCCACCTCCTTGATTTAGTCTCTCTGGGAGGGGGCTGCACAACTTAATTCTGCAGAGAGTTTGCGTTTAAAGGGGCTGTAGTCTTGTTTGGCAGGGCCTGTTTTCAAAAAGGCTGGCCTCTTCCGAGCCTCTTCTGGGCCTGCCTCGTCTGGTGGTCGCTCTTCTTTGTGGTTTAGGACCAAATGGGGGGCACCCAGGATGGCGCGAAATGTGGTTGATTTCAGAAAAGCTACTCAAAGGTTTTGATGGTCGAAAGAAACCTCTCGTTTCCTGAAGCATAAATCAGATTGGACAGGTCTCTTGAGCCTATTTGTTGCGGCAATTGAGTTCCGAGACTTGGTTTTGTTGTTTTTCTTTTTTGCGGGGGACAGCATTGGGTCCCCCGTCATGGCACACTTAACTAAAGGTGCTGATTTGGACACTTGACAAACTTAACACTTTCTGAACAGCTCTCTGCTTACATGTGAACTATGCAACATCCAAGATGCTACGAGTGCAAAGGTCTTTTTCCAAGATGGCAGCTGGAACGTGATGGGCTCCAACCTGCAATGAAAACGTCATGGCGCAGCTGCAATGCGTTGCAGTGCAGAAGTTTTAGCGCGGCAAAGCCTGTACTTCGACTGGGCTGCATCAGCTCTGCTCCCGGGCGGAGCAAAAAGCAGGTTTACCTGGGCCACACAAAATGCCATGGCGTGGTGCGGCATAGAGAAAAGGCTTGGATGAAGGTCAACATTGCCCAACCATGCTCTCACCCCCACCAAGCAACGGCGTGCGACATCGAGGAATGGAACTTCTTGCCCGTTCCGGGCCACAGCCATTCCATAAGGCAAGGCCTGAGCAATAAACATCATTTTACCTAGGGGTTTCTTACGGAACGTTCTGGCGCTTTCACAGATGTTCAAAGACAAATCCTGGCGCGCCTCTCTCGTGCACTTCCAGCTTGGAAGGTGAAGAAGGCCTGTCTGAGCATGAAAGGAGACGAGAATGAGAGCTCAGAGATAAAAGCTCTCACACCGCACCCCGCACACTGGCGCGTTGTACTAACACAAAGCATTCCCCTGGTGGGGTGCCTCGTGAATTGACAAAGCATCACAGAACGGATCCAATGTTATTTCAGCAGACTCGATCCTTGGTCGGCAGGCAAAGATGGAGCAAGAAAACTTGGGACCAAGCGTCCTACAATCTTGCATGCGGCTCGATGCTTCTTGTACCACCGCCACCCAAAACATGGTGCCAAGATGTGCCAAGATGTGCCAAGGTTCCCAGGCGCCGTGAATGATTTGCTGCGGAGACCAGCAGCGGAAGTGAGCGAGGAGTCGCTCGATCCCGAGGAGGCCACAGATTCCCGCCCATCACGGCCCTCGTCTTCAGCACCTCACCAAACTCGATTCGATCTTCTTTGACGGTTTTTCAAAATGCTTGTCTGCTTCTCAGTAGCCTGTCCTGGGTCGGGATGGAACATGCCTTCCGCGGAGCGCGCGACGGCCTGCGTTCTTTAGCTCAGCAACACCGCTCGGCTCTTCAGAGAGGCAAGAGGCCAACGAGAAAGCCGTGGCATAGACATGACTCATGCCTTTCTGGGCCCAAATATAACGACCCATGATTTTTTTCCTAACGTTTGCACTTTCAGAACACTGTAGAAGCAAAAACATATCCCTTAGAAAACCTTAGAGGTTTGTCGTATGTCCCTTCCCTTCGTGCTCGTAGGGTCTGGTCAAGGCCCCAGAAGTTTGTCGCATGTCCCCTCCCTTCGTGCTCGTAGGGTGAGGGCCCCTATAGTGGTTCGGCCTGAAAGCCCTAGAACCAAAACGTGCTTGAAGGGCTCAGCGTGCGAGGTTTGAAGGTTTCAGAGAGGCGTCTTGGTTGGTCCCTGTGTGTGCGAAAGACTGAGCGTGTTAAACTAGCAGCCTGCTTTTTGGGGACCGAGCTTACTCCAATAGCACCCAAGCTTTTGGGATTCAGAACAGTGTAGAAGTAAGAACATATACCTTGGAGGTTTGTCGCATGTCCCCTCCCTTCGCCCTCGTAGCATCGTAAACAACTAGCACCCCATCTGCGCTCTAATGACCGAATAAGTCGCGCATGGCGCGAGCTAATGGTCGCAGTGGAAACATCCTTGGGATTTAAATGTTGTTAAAATACAAGTTTTCAGGGCTTGTCCCCAGGGCCTATTTACAACCCTGATGGAGCCACGACTACGTTCCCAGCACAGGGAGAAAGAACTTAAACCACCTCTTTTAGGGAACGTGTTTTACTGGTCGCAGGGGCATATTCACAGCCCTTACAGAGCCACAATTACGTTACCAGCACAAGGTTTTGGGTTTCATCGTAAGCAACTAGCACCCAAACTGCGCCCTGATGACTAAATAGCTCGCGACAGAGCCCCCCCCTCTCCCCCACACAATGGCCAACTTGCAAGGAGAAGTTTACCAATCCGAACACGCTTTCTCGTTGTGTCTTTGATTGCCAAAAGTAAAGAATCCGGGGTCCGCGCAAGTCCGCGCCCATTGTGTACCCAACTCTGCTTGCTCTGCACAAGGTCCTAGAACATATTAAGACACCCCAGGCGCGGTCGCTAGACCGAGCTATTTGAGCATACTCAGATGGCACCTAAGTCTTGGGGACCGAGCGTGTTCAACTAGCATCCTGTTGTTTAAGAAAAGCTGGGCAAAAACCTTGTGTGCTCTCGGAAAAGGTTCTTTTTTTTTTTCAAAAACATCCTATGTTTCCTAGCGTTTGCACTTTCAGAACACTGTAGAAGTAAAAACATATCCCTAAGAGGTTTGTCGTATGTCCCTTCCCTTCGTGCTAGGGTCTGGTGAGGGACCTAGAAATTTGTCGCATGTCCCCTCCCTTCGCGCTCGTAGGGTGGGGGCCCCTAGGGCCCAGCGTGCGAGGTTTGAAGGTTTCAGAGGAGCGTCTTGGTTGGTCCTCATGTGTACGAGAATACGGCGCATGTTCAACTAGCATCCTGCTTTTTGGCGGCCGAGCATACTCAAATAGCGCCCAAGAACACTGTAGAAGTAAACACATGTCCCTTAGAGGTTTCTCGTATGTCCCCTCCCTTTGCGCTCGTCGGGTTTGGTGAGGGCCCTAGAAATTCGTAGGGTGACGTCGTAAGCAGCTAGCACACCATCTGCGCCCTGATGACGAAATAGCTCGCGCCGTGGCGCGATCTATTTGGTCGCAGGGGAAACATCTATGGTGCGTTAACACGTTAAGACACATTTTCAGGGCCAGCGTTCTGCGCCCAAAAGCCTATGCTGGTGACGCAAACGGGGCCCTATAGACTTCCTGCAATGTAAAACGGTTCCAAAATCCTGTGCTGGTAACGTAATCATGGCCCTGCAACCCGCCTGCACTTTAAAACGGTTACATTAACCTCTAGGGTGTCTAGGGCCCTCACCCAATCCTATCTCGAAGGGAGGGGACATACGACAAACCTCTAAGGGATATGTTTGTACTTCTACAGTGTTCTGACAGTGCAAACGTTAGGAAAACATAGGGTGGTTTTGCGCTTGCACACCCTATGCAGCCACGATTACGTTACCAGCACACGAGGGATAACATCTCTCGAAACCTTTTCGCAGAGCAAGAAAAGCTGGGCAAAAACCCTGCGTGCTTTCCGAAAAGGTTCTATACAAACGCAAAAACATCCTATGTTTTGCCTAACGTTTGCACTTTCAGAACACTGTAGAAGTAAAAACATATCCCTTACAGGTTTGTCGTATGTCCCTTCCCTTCGTGCTCGTAGGGTCTGGTGAGGGACCGAGAAATTTGTCGCAAGTCCCCTCCCTTCGTGCTCGTAGGGTGAGGGCCCCTATAGTGGTTCGGCCTGAAAGCCCTAGAACCAAAACGTGCTTGAAGGGCTCAGCGTGCGAGGTTTGAAGGTTTCAGAGAGGCGTCTTGGTTGGTCCTTGTGTGTGAGACAGACTGAGCGTGTTAAACTAGCAGCCTGCTTTTTGTGGACCGAGCTTACTCCAATAGCACCCAAGTTTTGGGGATCGAGCATGTTCAACATGCATCCTGCTTTTTGGGGGCCGTACTCAAATAGCACGCTTGGGGATTCAGAACGCTGTAATTAGAAGTAAAAACGTATCCCTTCGAGGTTTGTCGTATGTCCCCTCCGTTTGTGCTCGTAGGGTGTGGGACCCAAACCACGTGACACCCACCTGGCCTCAATTGCGCTCGGAGACCTTGGGAGACCACGGACCCAAACCGCGTTACACCCTCTCAACCCCATCGCGCACCACCGACCCAAACCGCGTGACACGCGCGCATGATCGGAGACCATGGGAGACCACGGACCCAACCGCGTGACACCAATCTAGCCAAGCGCGTGACACCATTTTTGCCTGAGGAGAGGACCCCAAACGGTTCCTGTTTGGGTAAATAAAAATAACAATAACAACAACAAGCATAACAATAGGAACAATATTGACGGTCTGTCACAGAACCACTACCTCGCTGCTTTCCGGAGCTTGTCCTACAAGCCTGTCTTGGGCAAGCTTTCGATAGGCACATGTCTAGGTCCGCTAGCGACAAAACATAGGCGCAGCGAAAATGAAGTCCACATCCAGGATTCCTAGGTGCCCCCCCCCAATTCCCCTCCGATGTTAGCGACCGGCATCCGCGGACAGTGTTATAAGTGCGCCCACCCTTCCCCTCCGATGTTCGCCGACCGACATCCTCACACAATGCGTCAGGACCAGGGGAGATTTGGGGCCGACCATAAGGGCCCCCGCTCCCTGCGAGAGTGCAACGAGTCACCTGACCGCCAGCTGGTTGTTATGGAGCGTGCGCAATATATCAAACGTCCCCCGTCCAATGCATGAGGAGCTGCTTTAGGACCTTTGTTGGACGTGTTTCTGCTCTGAGAACCCCCGGGCCAAGGTTGGCGAGGCGGGTCACGTAGCGTGAGAGGATGGAAATGCGCTTGGTCTCGACATGTCTCGACTCAAGCTGGCGGTCTCAAGCTCCCACCAGTTCCCAAATTGCGCTGATCGATCCCAACTTCATAGGTGGAAGCTGGCGATTGCTTCAAACAGTCCTCGGGCGCTCACAAACGCAAAGCAAGGCTGTCCGAAACAAGGATTCTGATTTTGTCTGCCTCTGTGGAACTGGTAGTGGCATGAAGCCCCAAAACAAGCCAAAATGAAGGAACGCGATGCGACACCGAGGCCTGCGGTCGCATCTGCAAAGTCTTGAGAGTCATGACCTCCTTCACCAGCGACTTCCAGCAACTCTTATCCACATGCACATGGCACGTTGACCCACAATCGCTCATATCCGGCGCAAGACCAAACACTCAATACAGAACTGTCGAACAAGCCCTGAATGCGGAGAAGTCCTGGGATTCCTCCGAATGTCGCGCAGCATTGAGGGGTGCGGTGCGATCTGTGCGATGAGACGATCGCCTGCAGTGAAGCTGAAAAGTGAGGTGCAAGGAGGAGTGCGAAAATCTAAAGGACGAGCAACCTCAAGAAATTCAACACGTTTCAAATCAATCTAGTGGCTAGCGGCTAACCTTAGCAAACCACATGAAAAATCGCAATAGTCCGGGAATCGGGCACACTTCCCGACCCAGTGTCCGAGTTGGATGCAGTCGCTGATGCGTTGCTCTCCGCCTTCCAGGAATCTGACAAAGTATCGAAGTTTTGCAAGGCAGTCCATGGCACTGCAGGGATCATTTGGGTTGGTGATTCCAGGAACGCTCTGTGGGAACCAAAGGAGTGGGATTCTTTGGAGTGAGATTCTTTGCACGATTACACTGTTTCTTTGCTGCCAGCCAACTCCTGGCTTAAGGATGGAGCGGACATGCATGTGCAAGCAGGGCAATGTCGGCAAGGGTTTGGAAATGCAAGCGATGTACTCACAGGCGAAGTGACCAGAATCGCACTAATTCTTTTGCGATTCGCGATCAAAAGTGACCTGAACACGCACTTATAAAATCCGACGATCACTTCAAGCTAGCGGAGCGAGGATTCACTCGGTACCAGTAGCCTTTGAATGAAATTGATGGCACTAGTAGACGAGTTCGGAGTTGCCACGTAGTGGCGCGGAATTGAGTCCGGGGTAGCCATTCAGTTTTGTATGCATGAAGGGCAGAATCTGAAGACAATCTGGTTTTCCTACGGGCCTTGAAATGTTTGTGTTATTCTGCTGTACATGCGATTTGCTGCACTACACGTCGGATCCATGAAAGTATTCGTTTTTCTTGGCTTTCCGTTTTGATACCTTTCTGATTTCATGCAGGGGCGTGCAGCACCTTTGGCATACTGCACGCAACGAAGCTATTACCAAAGGTGGGAAGGGGTCAAGGACGCTTGATGCCGTACCTGCAATAAGCTGGGCCCGTGAGCCAGCAAGATCAGTGAAACAGTTTTATTCTCGCAAGGCAGCTTTATGTTTTTCAGGTGATTTAACCATTGTTGTGCTTCATTGCTGCAATCTGTCAAAGTGAGCATGGTCATGAGGGCATGTGCATTGGACAACCATGCAACCAATTAGCGACTTTATGTCGCCCTCCACAACCAGAAGGCGGGACCGAGTAAAGTCTTTCAAGTTGTGTACGACAAGAGCTCCCTCATGAGGGCCTTGTCGCTTTTCGGCGAAATATGCCGGCCCACGGGGGTGCTTGTGTTAGCAGGTCTTGAAATCAGGTAGGCTTCCGACACATGTTCAAGTTGAGATCACAGTGGAAATCAACAGTCATGTTCGGAAATCAGCTTTTGGAGATCAAAGTAGAGATCACTTGTACAGTCATTTTGCGCTTGTTTTCTTGTGTTGCCATGGACCGTGAACGCACCCCCTGTCGTGCTCACTGGAGCTCCACAGTACCGCCGCCGCCAGTCAGTTGGCAAAATCCCATGGGCACAGTGCACCGCCCTCAGACGCGACCGACTGTTATGCAGCCACAGAATTTGTCGTGGAACCCAAACCCATGTGCAGCTCGAATCATGAATGTACCAGTTGCCCCACAAGTTCCAGAGTGGAGCCCGAACCCATGTGCAGCCAGAGTCACGAATGTACAAGTTGCTCCGCAAGTTCCAGGGATGTCCACAGCTCATCAAGGACCCGGGTCGACTCGGCATAGGACTTTCGGCCCCATGTTGCCGGCGGAGTTTTCTCAGAATCCCAACTATTTGGACTCCCGAAGCATCGCGGGTCTGAACTTGGCGCGGTGGGTGAAGAAGAGTGAATGGACGGTCAAGAAACAAATCGATGGTTGCCCTTCTCATGCTATCCCGCTGCACTCGGTGTTGTACCAAGGGTGGAATTCTTACTGGATTCGTCATGTCGCGGAAGGGAAGCCCACATTCTTTGTAGGTTTTCGATCCATGGCGGAAGTCGTATTTTGTCATTCTCTCTTCGCAAAATTGCGTGAAGAGAACGTTGACTTGGATGAGCTTGCCCGTGTAGTGCATGGTGGTCAGACCAGCTCATCTGGGAGCAATCTCTCTGATGCAAGAGTTCAAGCCACGCAAACGCTTGCCACGAAGGTTGTTGACTTCATGTCGGGATTGTATCCTCAGGACGAAGCGGATCCTGAGAAAGCTGCAATGGTGAATCAAATTCAGTTGCTTCAACAGCAGCTGGCCCGATTTGAAAGTGTCACACCTACAAAGTCGGAAAACACAGAGGCTGGCATATCGAACAAGACTCCAACCTCGGGGTCAAATGATGGTGGCAGTGGCTTGCCTATTGAGGTTGGATCGCCCGAACCGAAGCCGGATCTGGCCCCGTCTGCTGTGAAAGGACCCGACGGATCGACCCGTTTGCTGCGTGGATCATCGCAGGAGACCAGATCTGGTCTCATGCAAGCCTTTCAGAAGGGCAAAGCCCCGGAATGCTCCGGTGAGCCACATGTTGTCAGTGATTCCAAGCCATTGTCAGCTAAGCCTACGCAGGTCGACAACAAGTTGGAGTACGGAACGGCATCACATGTCTCGCACACTGTTCGCAATGTGGATCCTTTGCAATTGGAAAACATGCAAAAATGACAAAGAGGTTAGCACATGGATTGAAGGCCTTACGTTGAGCAAAGCCAACCGCACCAAATTGGCAACTTGGACAGCGCATGTCCAAAAATGGCACTCAGACCTGACAGCCACGAGCAGGCAGTCGGCACAATATTGGTGGCTTGACTACAAACTGTATTGGACGACAGGGAGAAATTTCGAAGCCGTCACCAACTGAAAGGTTGGCGGTGCCAGCACCGAGGCGACGTGGACTTGCTTCGGAATGCGCATTGATTTTTGCAGAGTATCTGCGAAACTCGCATGATGTCGGACAGCAGTTGATGGATGTAGTTATTTGGGTCAGAGGCAAGTGACTTTTGTTGGCGTCCGACTTGGTTGTATATTGTCGTATTTTCCTACAGCCAGAGCTGAAGCAATTTCTCTACGTTGGTTCTACTACTCAGTCTCTGGGCGAACGAGAGCGCACACGATGGGGGAAGTTCAAAGAAATTCGAGCAGGCAAGTCAGTGTGCGGGGAACTTTGCCTGTTTTGGTACCATCGTCGGTCAAACTACCACGTGGCTATTCCGTCGCTTATCATGCAGGTGCCGCAGATCCACACTATTGAGCAAACGTTTATCAACCTTCTTCAGCCTAAACTCAATGCCCCATGGGTTCGGTTGTTGGTGAGGGCCAAACATGCCTCATTTTGCCAACTCGGATCCTGTTAGGTGTGTGCGCAGACTTGTTCCGTCCTGGAGAGATTTTCGGCGGTTCAGACGTCGCAACCTTCGTCTTACAGGATTGACGCCATCAGTTTTCAGGTCCGTTCATGTGGTACAGTCAATTGTCTATTGTTACCAGATTCTTTTTGACCTTGCTTCGGATGGACTAAAATCCTTTCTCGCTCAGAAGTACTTACGCAGCAATCGAGTGGATTCGGATCTTCTATACAGATTGTTCCGCATGGCCACGCATTTGGGGGACCCGTTCTACGAGACAATTTGTCGGTCCAGACTCAACACGGTGCTACAGTTTCGACAACTTCGATGCCCTGGTACGTGTCGCCCCTTGACGACACCATTCTTGCTTCCGGAGTCAAATTTCAAAAAGTTGGCGCGGGGACTGTTGGGGGAGATTTTGGATGTCTCGCCGGATAGACTTTTGCCTTACCACATTCCGTCCACTGCTCTTGTGGCAAAAAAGCCACCCCAAGATCAAGGACGCGCTGTTCTCGTATCGGCAGGTTTTGCAGCAGTGGAACCCGCACGTTGATCCCACAACGGCAGGAATTGTGTGTAGGTGTTCTGAGATCTTGCGCCGACACCCACAGTTGACAGTTGTCCAAGGTCACGTGGCATCGTCCGCCACGTTACTGCACTTGCCGGCATTTCTTGAACAGGTAGCTCAATCCAGTTGTGGCAATACGGTGTTCATGTCAGCGAAGGATCATTGGAAGACTTTTCATGCGGTTGTCCGTGAATGGATCTCCCACCATGAATTGGTGAATTATCCGACAAGTGACATACGACGAGTGTGGGAAGAAGTGGCTCCCATTGGACTGTTGACTTGGTGCGTGAATTACAGCGACATACTCCAGGCCTTATTTGGCATGTTCGGGATCATCAAGGCTCTCACGCTCATGTGTTCTGTCCAGTCAGCTTCGGTATTTCAGCCTGTGTCGTTGAATAAGCCGTACCTCCGAACATCCTGGCAGCCTTCCCATTTCGATTTGGATCGCGCAGCGCCCGTGTTTCTTGGGCATGCATTCTGCCTAAATTCAAGAAAGATTGGAAAGCGGGCAGAACCATAGTCAGTTTTGCGGCACATCCAGCTCGTCAATTCTTGGTTGTCATGGCACGCGTCACTGAAATGCTTGTTGCTCAGGTTTGTCCGCATACGAGATCGTACAACGACGCAATCATGTTATGGCAAGATCTTGACCAGCTGTTCGAGAAACAACATTCAGCTGTTGATGGGTTGTGCATGGATTTGACCATGCATAACCAAGATTTGTCCGGATTCTTTGTCAGTATTCCTCTTGAGCGGTTCATGACCACGTTCCGTATTCTGCTGCGCCGTTTTTACGATGTTGCTGATGAAGATCTCGATGAGGCCATGAAAGGAGTTGTCGTCGCCTCTCCCCCGACGTCGTCCAGCAGTGAGAGATGAGCCGAGCACGTCAATTCAGCTTGTTGTGTCGAATGCCGGTGCTGATTCTTACGTTGTTCCAGAAGGACCAGAGATTCCTCCACCATCAGACGAGTGGATTTGCATCCAGCCCAGCACTGGATCGGAACTGTGGGTCAAGTTCATGGATACATCGAGGTTGACTGATCGCCCGGACGTGCAACATATGATGTGGCCGCAGTTCTTTTGTGTCAAAACGGTGGCCGGAATGAACTTGTATGGGTTCAATCCTACGGAAAATACGAAGGACAACAAGAAGCAATGGCATGATTTGGAGCGTCTCCTCCTTCATTTCCGTTCGGCCATTACGCGTGACCCAAACCGGATCAAAGCCGCCGTTGAGCTCAACAACTATGAATGTCCTGTACTGAACGCAGGACCTCTTGATTTGCAGGAGAGATGGATTGCGGCTCGTCTTGCAGGTGCTGACGCCCATGCAAATTTCAGTTGGAGTGACGTGTGTGGATCTTTCGGCATGGGTCCGGCCCCAGTACAGCAAATCAAGAGTCTTGCTCGTCTGCTCTCTGCTGTTACATGTTTGCGGCCTTTTGTTCGTGAAGACTTGCAGACCAGGAAGGTGCGTATTGGCTTTTTCCCTCGGGGACAGATCCCACGACCGGGGCCTTGGCGTCCGGCAATCATGAAGCTCCGGTTGGAGTGTTCCTTGTGTTGACAACGGATTTGCCAGATGATCCTGGGACTGGCTTCAGCGTGCCTTTTGCACACAACACAGCACCGCAGGACTTATCCTCAATCATCAGCCAAATGGTCATTCGACCATCATTTTTCGATCGTGCTGACAGAACATGGCTGCCGTCCTCAGGATTCTATGGAAGAATGGCTTGGCCCCCAACAGCCATCAGACAGCCAAAGCTTGATGGCTCCACGCCGGACCACCTTGCAGCTATGCGTGCGTCCACGGTGAACGCCCGCCGTTTCGGAGGGAAGCAGTCTGATACCCGGACATGTGCAGCGGTAGGGTGGACATTCATACGCCAGCATATGCATTCCAAGGCTGCCTCTGCTTCGGACCAGACATTCGGGCAGATGTATGATTTAGTTCACGGCCAGGACGGCCGGTTGATGTTTCGGTCTTCCCGTAGCATCTTGACGGGCGCGGCAGTGTTCTGGACTTCGTGGACCATTGAAGATTAGACGTCCTGATGTCTTGCTGGTTAGGTTGTTTGTGTCCTGTTCTTCCGTTTTTGCTCATGTCAATGCAGGCACGCTCGGATGGCCCACTGTCCACATTTTGAATGCTACATTCCGCCGTGGATAGCACAGGGGCAAAAAACAGTCTGCTGTTTTTTGCCTGATGCTTAGGAGCATGCAATCAGTTTCTCACCAGCTTTCATGTTCTCGGTCGCAATAATATGCCTTGATTCATACTGACGAGTACTTTGCAGTCTTTTTGGCTCAGCGATTACCTTTACCTTGCGTGTCTGCTTCATCGCATTTTCTGCGCTCTGTATTTCTATGGGAAAAGGGAGATTTAAGATTCCGTTCTTCAGAGTGTGGGCTGGCGCAAAGAAAAGACGATCCAAAGAAAATACGGTACTCAAACCCTATGTGGCGGATCAGCAGGTCCGCATTCCGTATTCACTTGAAATCTGTGACGATATTCCTGAGTGGCTCGGGGAGCCAGACCATCCCTCTGAAGAGCTCGCTGCCAAAATGGTACGCAATGGTCAGGTTGTTATGAGTGTTTGGGCAAAGCTGTGTGATCAGCTACCATCCGCGCAGCTTCGAAGAGAAGCAAATGGTACAAGACTTGGAGCTTTCATATTCTACAGTGGTGCTTACAGACAAGGCCCCTTGTGCGGCTTACGGAAGAATGTTAAAGCCTTTCCATGGGTCACCTTGATGATCTGCAGGTATATTCAAAGCTGCACGCATGAACGTTTCACCAGTTTTATGCTTCAACGAAATATTGCCATGAATGTCCACAAGGATTTGAACAATAGTCGTTACAGCAGAAACATTGTCTTGCCATGCTCTCAGTTCTACGGAGGCGGTGTATGGACAGCAGATGAAAACGGCGATTTCTGGTCAGCATGTGGGACACATGTGGAACCTGTCTTTAGCAGGCACCACCTTTCATCCGCATGTCTGGCATGAGTCGTGCCCCTGGTTTGGTGATCGAATTGCAGTTGCAGCCTTTTCCATCCGGAATTCCTTCAACCTTGAAGTTTCTGACAGACGACTACTCAGAAATCTGGGCTTCAACATGTGAGTTTGACTCAATGCTCTTCAGCTACAACAATACAGACGCCATCTTACATTTACTACGCTGATCTTGTGCGTGTTGTTAGGCCCAAGCATGTTGGAATCTGTTGTTTCTAGCTTGGCTTGAAGCTAGGCAGGATTCCGTTCACCGCACTACCAATCAAGCCTTGGCGGTGCAAAATGATCGCTTACGCTGCTTGGTGGCCCCTCTGGGGCCTGTTTGTGTTATTCTAAGGGGGAACCTGTGATAGAAACTGCCCCTGGAAAGGCTTACTGGATGGGTGAACAAGGCTGTGGAACAAGAGTGAGAGAAAGATGAATGGTACGTCCTAAAGGTACAGCCTGGATGGTACGGTCTTTATGTTGGGTTCTTGGTGGTGATTGAACGGTCGAGGTTGGATTCACCACATGAACACCCCAAAAGGCAGAGAACTATGTGATGAAGGTTGCTGCCCCGGTGAATGAGATCTCAGAGTCAATGGTCGTTACGGTGTGACAGAGGTTACATTCATAATGGGGCCTCAGGACAAGGAGTTAAGGTGTCATGAGATTGATGGTGTACGAAATGAAAAGTAAAGATTAACCGCTCTCTCCCTGTCACACCTTTAGAATGATCCCGTCCTTGGGGCCCCTTAAAAGCCCATAATATTATAATTACAAAGAACCCGTGATTCCGTGATGCGTGAATTATAATATTATAGGGGCTTTTTGGGGCTTTTCTCTCTTCTTCTTTCTTCACCTGGAATAATATAATGCACGCGTCGCTCACTCCTTGTCATTAATACTACTACCGTGAAGAGAATAAGAGAGCACATTAATACTAATATTACAAGTTAACGCGTGAATATTAGTATTAGTGTGTGAACGCATGAACGCAACAACTGGACCATGAGGTAGAAACTGCCGCTGGACGCTATTAACCCAGCTCACGGATCGCTTCTAAGGGTGAACTCTGCTGTACATGCGATTTGCTGCACTACACGTCGGATCCATGAAAGTATTCGTTTTTCTTGGCTTTCCGTTTTGATACCTTTCTGATTTCATGCAGGGGCGTGCAGCACCTTTGGCATACTGAACGCAACGAAGCTATTACCAAAGGTGGGAAGGGGTCAAGGACGCTTGATGCCGTACCTGCAAGAAGCTGGGCCCGTGAGCCAGCAAGATCAGTGAAACAGTTTTATTCTCGCAAGGCAGCTTTATGTTTTTCAGGTGATTTAACCATTGTTGTGCTTCATTGCTGCAATCTGTCAAAGTGAGCATGGTCATGAGGGCATGTGCATTGGACAACCATGCAACCAATTAGCGACTTTATGTCGCCCTCCACAACCAGAAGGCGGGACCGAGTAAAGTCTTTCAAGTTGTGCGTGACAACCTCCTCGCCAACAAATTCGCCTTTGGGCTAGCGAGCTGCGCCCTGCCGACCAACACCCTCTGTGCCAATTCTCCACACCATCTCAAGCTCACCCTCAAGACCTCAAGTGCGAACTCCGGGAAGCAGAAAGGACGAAGAGGAGCGGGTGTACTTCGCGCTGAGAGAATGGAGGGTTCACCGATTCAGTTCCTAATTCTGTCAATCTGAAAAACGGTAGATCTCAAGCACGACGCACGAAGCCTCCGAAATTCCAATGAAGTGGCCCCGTACCCCATTCGGACCTCAGAATGCCCCAGCGATTGATGACCACCATGCAGCACCGGTGCTACGCTTAAGGGTTCCACCGGCGGGCACACAGATGTGGAAGAGTTCAACCGCAACCAGTAGACCATGACCTGAGGAGGAGGCAAAATGCTGTACTACAGAAACCTGACAACCCCAGCCTGAGTTGCGTACTGTCTGAGATATGTACAAGCAGAGAAGTCGGCGGTGCTATGACCGACCTACGGATGCGCAGCACAGCCTCTCGGCTCTGGTCGACTCTTGGCAGCTCTGGTGACAAGCGCCTTCCTGACGGCATCCCTGATGGCACATCCCCATGCCCGTATTGGCCGTCACCGTCACCTTCCAAAGAAGGTTGTTGCTCTGCAGTTCGTGCTGACCGAAGGAGGCGGAACGCTGACAAGATCGTTTAAAAGGGCAGTCCAAAGCATCGAGGCATCTTCAAGCCTTGGCCTTCGTCAGCGACCTGGGCTCTGAATTTGGGCACTGCTCTTGGAGGAGCATGCGTTTTGCAAACCTTGATCGCTGATTCGATGAAGACTTCGAACCGGTGGATGTCGCGAGGTGCCATAAAATCTAGAAACGCCCGTCCTGGACAGCAAAACTCGTGTCAGTCTGAGTTGTTATGCACGTAGCCTATGGCAGATGTCCTTCCAACGCAAACGGCGAGCAGCTGCTCATCAGCAGTTGAGCCAGACCTACAGTCTTCACACAAATTACACAACTTGTCCACGAAATGACCGCACCCTACAACTGCAAGTGACCTGGGCAACACAGCACAAGCCTCTGTCGTGGGAGATGATCTTTAGGTCCGGACCAAGCAAGACCTAAAAAAAACTTCAGACAGAGGCCCAAAAAACAAACGCATCTTCTTTCACGCAGACAAGGCGCCTGAGCGTCGCAAAGGACTGCAAGCATCCGTCTAGCAGCGGAATGTTCATGGAAGAACTGGCTTGCATCCTAAGTGCCACACGTGGAAATCTGAGTACTTCAAAGGTTTTGGGATCTGCTCTGATGCTTCTTTCCGGTCTTGCGCTCGGCTCCCAGCTTCCACCGCAGCTGTCGACAGCAGCTCGGCAAAGCTGGACTTCAGCAGCACGATGGGGATCACCGAAAGCAGGCCGGTCCCTCTCAAAGACACAGGCCCGGGCAAGTAAGGACTTGGCGAAGCACTTGGGGCTTCCCTGCAGCGACGCCCCCCCGGCCTAGTTCCAGAATAATCATGCTAGGCAACCAACTCGACTCTTCCTGAAGCCTGAGCTCCATTCATATTGGCCGCTGCCACGTGCGAAAGCTGGAGACACACGCGCACAGGCATCAGAATTCCCACAGCTGCTTTCTCTTGCTAGGCAGCAGAATCCTGATGAGCTGAGACATGCTGGCCACTGTATTGATGACGATAGCGAATCCTCAAAGCTGCAATCTCTCAAGCATTCTCAAGCTGTCATCTAAACAGGTCTTATGGAGCATGGAGGTGCTGGCCTTTGACATCTCAACACATGTCCATACTGCTTTTGAATGAGAGCTACCAGACCTAGCCTCTCTTCTACATGGCGTTGAATGCAGTACTCCCCTCATCGCATCTAAACGATATCGTTCCACGATGTTCTTCACGCTTACTCATAGAATCTCATAGTAAAAGACCACTTGCAGGATTCTGAGAGTCAGACGCTCTGAAAGAAGCATCGACGACGCACAGAGCCGCAGCATCATCTTTATCGGAATCCTATGGATACACAGAAGATCCCAGAAGTCAGAAGTCACACCCGCTTGCCAGTAGACAGTAGAATCAGTAGAAGTCGAGGCCAAGACATCATCATGATCGATGCCGAATCGGACAAGATGGTATGTAGGACTCCAAGGAAAATCTCAACTGCGGTCCTCATCCACTGCGCTAAGAGATGCAACGGCTTGAAGCAAGATCTGCATCGTGCTTCCAAATCTTCCAAGCATCATCTTGTATAACAGCGGCAACTGCATCGTCCATTTGGAAGCCAGCGAAGCAAAGAAGAAAGCTGCTCCGAAGATGACGTAATCCTGAAACAGTTGGATGCGGCTGCTCCTGCAGTGTCAAGACCAGCAGTTCAAGCTCGACAAAGCACACAACTGCACATCACTCAACGAATGCCTGCGTAATCCAAATGACAGATCCATCAGCCTTGGCTCTGCTAGGTCTTCACCCAAGAAGCCACAACGACTGTCAGGCCCACTGCTTTGAAAGCTGCAGGTGAATGCTAGCGACTTGTTGTGCTCATGCGGTGTTGTCTTTATCCAAATGGAAGTCGGCATGCTTGAAAATAGCGTTTACTGTGGAAAGGCTAAGTCAGCACTACCCTAACTGGCACATCGTCGCGTTCACATGTGACTCTGGCGCTGCATGGCCTAACTCTGGTAAAAAAGCAAAACACGGCAAATACATTGTAAAGAACCTGCAATGGGCTTTCTCCTGCACGGAATTCTGCACGAGAGCAAGCAAAGCACGTTGCACACCATGCAGTCGGAGAGCTTAAATTTGTTACAAACCACTTGCCACTCGCCATTGGAGCTGAAACTGCCATCGCTCATTGAAAAGTGGAAGCTTCAGCCCTTTACCCGCCCTTTGCTGGCAAGCTTCACTGTGATGAGCGTGAAGCTGCCTAAAATAGCAGCAGTCCTTGCGATCTGCTTCTTGCAATCTGGCAGGGAAAACATGACCCCAAACAAACTGGACTGGGCTGCTCGCAGCTGCCGCGCCAAAGGCAGCTGAATCTCCTGGAGCTTGCTGTGAATTGCTGCTTCCTGGCACAGCTGAGAACAGGAGTGCAGGACTGCTTTCTATTGCTTTCCATTTAGATCTGCCAGATGGCCTTCTCTTCGTCGCTGGTCAGAAGACCGTGCACGAAAGACTGGAGCCTGAGGACTGCTAACAAGCAATGGCGTATTGTGGTCTTCTTGCATTCTCTTGTATTCCAAGAAGGCGGCGACAAAAGGCATCTCCTGACATCCGCCTGCAAAAGGCAGCAGCTGACACAACTTTTGACCACTTTTTTTGACCACTTCTGACTTTTGACCCGTTTCAAGGGCGATTTGTCCCCGCTTGAATTGTCCAACAGGAACCTATACAGCACACATATGTCAAGCATTGGGCCTTCCAGGACCACATCAGAATGGTGACCATTATGTAGAAGACAATCGCCTTCTCAAACACGGCTGATGTCCAAGTTTCGGAGACCTTACACAACAATTGCGGTGAAGAGTGTGCGCCGAGCGGTTGCAAAAGGCATTGTAAGTTGCTGCAAACTGCTGTAGTTCGTTTTCGTTATCATTTGTTCATTCCGTACCTACTGACCAGATACCGCGGCAGTTCTACGAGGACCCCAAACCCAGGAATGCCGGAAGACTCGTCACGAGGCCGACTGAAAGTGCGATTCTTTATTCTATAACTCCCTTCTAGTGTAGCAGTGTTGTGTTAACAACAGGTGTGTTTACGGATCAAAGGCACTCAGAGTGCCTTCCGGATGCCTTTTTCGCAATTGAGTGAGGAGAATGCCTTCAAGCACCTTCCCATCCCTTCCGCATACCTACATATGTTCCCTTTGCCCGGCACTAGAAAGAAGGGTTCTGGGATCACAGGACTAGGGCGGCAGCAAGCTTTGTGCCTATGGCAGGCACAATGACGACAGCGTGCGTCAAAGAATGCGGCAGCATGACCTTCAGACAAGCTGCACCCTCATCCATCGCTCGCCCATCCATGCTCCACGACGCCAACAACTGTTGCGATGTCTCTGCACTGACTGAAGCTCTACGGATTTTGCTGTTTGACTCTACTGTTTGGCGACCAGAAACACGAGTCATGAAATGGAATGAACTTGAAGTTGCCTGGAATGATGCAGCGGCGGCACGATCAAGCACGGTGGCAAAAGCACACATTAGACAAGTCATGCATGTGCAACTTGGTGCAACTATCCCCGTGTTTGCTCCGCGGGCTCTCACAAGGTGCATCACAGCTTCTCACAGCTTCTCGATTTCACCAGAGGCAGCTGATACCTGGCCATTGGCATCTCATTATTGATGAGACCTGCAGTGGCCAGCAGATGCAGCCGCCTGCCCAGCTCCCAAGCATAGCTGCAGCGGCGACAACCCGCATGGTATGCACAAGGCAATGACGACCTCGGAAAATCAAGCAAAGCGGAGAGTGTGCAGACATTTCCTTCGCCAGAAGCAGATCCAAGGGGCACATGTAATCAGAAAGCAGGCGAACCCGACAATGACATCCTAGGCAACAGCTGCCCTCATCGAATCATTTACAAACAGCACACCGCACTGTTGCTTCCGAAAATGCACTAAGCCGCAGAGTTGGTCTTGCACCAGTCGTCGAACCTAAGCGACGACTACCCTTTCACAGTGTGACACGGATGCAAAGGCTGGACTGCCCACACGCGTTCACCATTCTTACTTCTTATTCACAGCAAGTGGCGTGCTTGAGCTTGGGCTCGCAGTTGTCCTTGGAACCATCGGAACAGTACGAAATAGAAGGGATGCTTCATGATTCATGATGTTTCAAGCGTGGTCTGACATGAAGCAGCGGGACATGAAATACATGCAGTGCTGCAATATGCTATGGCCAGGAACGCCGTCAACTGGACTAGCAGGGCTTCGTTTTCGGCCTGGCAGTGAGAACCGCATGCTGCTTTCAAGCAAAGATCTGCAACAGCTGCCAGCACCTGCAGCTCTCGAAGCCGAGGTGTCATGACCGTCTGCAAGTCAACAGACGTGACAGAAGCACAAGAAGCACAAATCAACTAGCGCAAGGCTTCCAGTTCTGGCTCCTCCATTTCCTGCATCCTAGTCAGAAGACGTGGAGCTGGCCTGAGATTTGGCATCATTGTGTCAGCATGTGCATGCGTCAGCATGTGCATGCGTCAGCATGTGCATGCGTATGCTTCTGTGTCCAGGATAACATACAGCCTTCCGACTCCGTCCAAGTGCCCCGGCTCTACTACCCTCTCCTTCTCTGCGTGCGCATGCCTGTAGAAAACAGCGGGCACCGCAGGAGTCGGGCGAGAAATCAGAGCGAATGGTCCAACGAAGGGTCCAAAGTTGAGACCCCGCTTAGAGGCTTAGAGGCCTAGAGGAATCTTCGCAGCAGAACTGTCTGTCTGACAACACTACAGACGGCTACAACCGGCCACAGCCAGTACTCAGGCAAATGACACCCCAGCACATACCAGCACACAGCAAAGCATGCGGCAGCCAACCTCACTGCATCCACCGAGGCGGCATTAGTTTTGAGACCGGCCTGAGCTTTGCATGCAAAAGGTGGCCCTTTCCGAGATGCGGAGCACAGCTTAACAGTGGCATATGTACCTTACTTGCATAGCAAGAACCTGAACCAAAAGAAGAGCAACAGTACAATTGGCCAATCTGGGCCAGGTTTCCACGGAGCCAGCCAACAGCGACATCTGCTCGTCAAGGCCTAAGTCTAAAGAAGTCCAAAAAAGCAACGGCGTCGTTGATTTGAAGCTGCTGACTAAGGCAAGGTCTGGATGATGCCTTGGACTGAAAAGCTGCAAGCACATGTGCACCCAAGCCTGCCCGACTCAACACATGTTATACAGCCCCTCTTTTCTCAGGATGAACTCCAGAAAAGATCTACGAAACAGCAAAGGTCTTTCCTTAATGCGAGAATACCCTGAAGGAAGGCAGGCCTCATTCGCGCCAAAGTTTCAAAACTCTCGTTCTTCATATTTCTAATCAGAAACAAGCGAGCTGCAATCAAATGTGACAGAACCCTTGATGCTTCGGCCCGGAAATCACAGAGAGCCTGTTGTTCTTCAGGGCCACCTTTTTCCTGTCAATCAGAAACGTCTGGTTTCAATAAACAAAAGATCTGCCAATGACGAAATTTAGATTTAGAAGAAATGTGAGAAACATTCCGTTATCAGAAGAAGACTGTTCGTCGTCGATCACGTCACAGTTCAGCCCAACTTAGCATCTCGGAATGCCCGTATGGATCATGGTATCTGTATCTACTGAAAGTCATGACGGGGTTTACAGTTTGCAACCTCACAGAAAGAAACCTCCGGCGTTGTCGACTTCGGTGCCAACGGGAACATCCGGCGCTGAGTTGCAACCGCTGGGATCTTCGCAATATTTTTGCAATCTTTTTTGCAATATTCTTTGCAAAATTTGCATCTCCTACATCATCTCCCTTTCATGTCACTGTGCCGACAATGGGCTGCGTCATGTGTAGAAGGAGCATGCCCTATGACACCTGTGGTCCTTTTGTAGGCTTCCTTGCTTCGCATGCCCTCTTGCATGTACTTTTACTTCTGACCTGCACAAACTGGATCCGATTGGCGTTCGCACGAGTTGGGGAAACGGATCCGACTCGGCCCGGCACCGGGCCGAGGGTCTGATAGGGTCTGATCCCGTGCCGTTGGAGGAGCCAATTCTGGATGATCCTGCTCAGAGAGCCCTCCTTAATACCGACAGCTTCCGACTGCAACAGGTCTGAACAAAAAGAGGTCTAGGTTCCCGCATCTTCCCGCGCTGGCCGCACTCGCCTACTGGGTGGCGTCATAAAGACGCTCTTCACCAAAAATCGCTCGCGGCATTTACCCTCCATTTTTACCTGCCGTCTCGCACTGTCTGGGTCTGGCTGCGGGTTCACTTGGTTGATCTTCAAGGCACCCAACTAATAGAACAAGAGATTGAGCAGGTGAGAAAAGAATGAGACATCAAAAACAGAATGATGTATAGAGCACATGAAATAGAACTCTCACATAGCAAGACCATTCTAGGGTCTCCACAGAAACGAACCGCAGCGAAGCACCACAAGAAGCCACTGCTTTGAATCTGAAGCCAAACCCTACCATTTTTTGCCGTCTCGATGCTGCATCGTCCTCGACACTGAAGCCAGTCTGCCTGCAAGGCATTTCACAGCAGAGGGTCTGAGGGTAGGTACTGGTTCTCCATCTGCACCAATGCAACGCATGGCTGCCAAGTGTCAGTAGCAGCAAATCGGCATTCCCCGTGCCCTCAACGGACACTGATGTTCAACTCATTCCAAGTTCAAATCTGCACAGTATTCCACAGGCTTTTGCGAGCCGCACCTCCGGACAGGCCCTTTCTTGGGCACAGGCTTGCCCAGAGTATGCCTCTGAAACCAAAGCTGAAACCAAGAAAAAATGACAAAAACCAATGCATGTCGAAGGTCCCCACCCAATAACTCAGCAACTTGATTTGCACTGTATAGGTCTGCTTGGGAATTCTGCGCGGTGAGATGCCCAGGAGATTCGAGGAGTACAGGACACCCGGGTCGAAAGCGCAGCTGAGTTAAAAACCTTACCAATCCGAGGGTTTAAGGAACAGGGGAAGCAGAGAATAGCACAGCGTATGGTCACGTGCGTAAAGTGGCCTGAGCAGCGTTAGCGGTGGCAACTGCGATCCATGCTGCTATGGTCTTCATGGCACCGGAGATGAAGGTGGGCGTCCAGGACAACACTTTTATCTTAGGCACTCAGATTAGGCACATCTCCCTGTGCTGAGGGCTACTTAGCGCTACTTGGTTCCTGAAAATCATGCTCCAAACCAAGTTGAAGTGCCTCCCTCTCGCTCATTCAGACTCATTCATATGTTCGCCCGATTCGGTTCGTTTGCGCGGCTGCAGACACCACAACATAGAGTCAAGCAGCTGCTGACTTGGGAATCGATAATGCCAATGCTTCGGATGCTCAGTGTAAGTGGCAGGCTCATTCAGAGATCTCTACATAGCCACCAGATGGGGAAAACAAGCACGGCCCAAGCACACCCTCTGCATTTTACGACACTAAGACACTCGAAACATCTCCAACAATAGTACATGAAAGAAACAGAAGCCGGTACTCGGGTGAAACGTCTTGCATGTTCTACTCCCAATCAGTCATTCTCAACGGTGCCTCATGACAGACAGAGCGGCATTATTGCTTGTCTCGGTGCTGGCAGTGCAAGCCCAGAATGGGGAAACATGGCGAAACACATTGAAACAAACCTCAACTTCACTCATGTCATCAGTAGGCAATCACTCAACCTCTAAGCACTTCACCACCTCCATCGCCTTGGCCCGAAGAATAGGATCTTTGTAGGACCTTCAAGGCGTAATAAAGCATTTGTTGCTCTTGAAGCTACTGGTAGCTGCATAGGCTAAAGGTCAGCAACTCCACCTCGGGAAAGGCCTGTGCTGTCACAAAACATATCTGCCGTGGGCCCCTCTATCCCCGTCCCTGCAGGCGCGCGTGACGCAAGTAAACCACCCTTTCGTTTGGTCCAGTCCCCTTGCCTGGTATGGGCTGGCTCAGAGGGACCCAAAACATTCCAATGGCCCCCTACGCATGCAACCGCCAGCCCCCAAAAAGCTCCATTGCAACCTGCGATGGACTATTTGAGCCAACACCCTGCCCCCTCTTGGCGTCTGGACTCTTCACAAACCTCCATGGCAGACCCGAACCTGTCCTCTGGATCCTCTATTGACCCTCTAAGGCCCCTGAAGCCTTGGACCTTCTATGCTTTCGTGACTTCGCGCTCGGCAATCGGGTGAACATGAGCAGGCCACACCGGCCACCGGCCACACCGCATTCATCTGGCGAGGCCTTCACCTTTTTGTGTGGTCTTCCCAAACTCAGCTCTCGAGCGAGAAGATGTAATGGACAAGGCCCTTAGGCCTTTCGTGTTCCTTTCTACCCCAATTGCACATGTTGCGAAAAACTTGTGGAGCAATATCCTGTCAGTTGCAAAGGAAGCAGCATGAGATAACTCTCTAGTTGCGACGACAGCAGAATAAGATCTCCGAAACAGAACCTGCAATGCCAGAAATGTGCGCAAAAAATGCAAAGCCTGAAATCCAGCAAGGATTTGTAATTTGAGATGTAAGTGCCGTCGCTCTTTTCGCACCTTCCCTGTGAGTTCTACTGATCTCGAGCCTTACTCGTCAAAAGCTACTGAGGCTGGCATCCCTCTGACAACAAGCAGTCAGCACACAAGATGTTTTGGAATCGAATCAACCCAAAACTGTTGCACAATGACATTAAGCCGAACAACAAGACGATGGATGAACCTGGCAGACACTAGTGCAGTCTTCTGCATTCTTCACGACCTGTCCACGCCCTTGACCCTAAGAGGAGGAAAACATGGCGCTCAACTCTGGGCGAACCACTCAAAGAACGCCCGGTGCGACACCAAGGAGTACGGGAAGACTGTCTGCCCATCGCGTGTCTGCCCAGAGCATTGGGCAACTTCTCGCCATCGCACACGTTGATCGCGTTAACACTCACCAGCCTTCCTTTGCAGCCAATTGTATCCGGGAGGGATGACCTTTCAAGTCTCGGTTGAGGCTTGAAGCGAAGCCGTGCATGGCACAGTGCTTGGTGCACATCGTTGCAGAAGGCCTCTTCTTCATCCCATCCTTCGCTCAATGACGTCCTCTGCATGCCTGCGACAAGCCGCCGGCCAAAGTTGGAGAAACATGCTGCCTGAACTGCATTTACGACGGGCAATATTTTGCGTGCCCAAGACCTGTCGAAGTCATGGCGGGTTTTGGTGGTGGGGCGATGCTGTTCCTGGGCACATGCAACAAGCAAAGCAGAATCCTGACACGAAACTCATCAACAGTTGAGCACGCGGCCAGTATTCCGGAAAGTTCGAAGCCATCATGGGTACACTCCACTTTGGCCCGAATGGATCACTGCAGGCAATCAACTGCAAACTCAATTTCTGGTGCGGCTGCCATGGGCATGCAAGTTCACACAAAAGCCTCCGCGTCCTAGTCAAGCGCCGAGCTGGTCGTTGAGATTCAGTGAACGCATGTAAACGCCTGGGCAACACAAATAACCCACGCAGCGAAGAAGGGGTGCTGGTCTGGGGCCGGTGTGATTGAGGGGCAACTTTGACTGTTTCAGTCGGATCGCTTCCGGAAGCGACAGACCAGAACCAGGAGGACCTAGCCTTCTTGGGCTTGGTTAAATTGTGCAAACCTTTCCCCTTAAAAACAGAAAGAAAAAGCTACTCAACATCGGAGACGGAACAGTTTGAAAGGTTTGAAAAAGCTTTTTTCAAACTTTTCAAACTTTGCTTCTAACAATTTAAAATGATGATAAAAATGACAATTCCGCAGGGGACGCGAGAATATTTGATTCATTGGAAGTATGAAGAAACTGTCTTCAAGTGCTTCTGTGTTTTCGACCTTTTTAAGTGGAAACACGTAAAACTATTTTCCAAACTTTTTGAGCTTTTTTGGTTTTTCAGATTTGTCAAGCTTTTCCACCTACCTGCCTTTTGCAAACAGTTTTTCCAATTCTTGAAACGCTTCAACCGTTTGGTTTTCACACAAAGTTGAAAAACTCAGAGAGATGGATTCTTCAAACCATTCTATTTTTCTTTCCGACAGCAAAGTTCCAACATCCACCGAGGCCTCAGGACGTAGGTGTCTTGGTAGCATCACACCTCCAATTCCCTCCTTTGGCAGGGGGGCATGAAGGCCCGACCATGGCCCGCACGCAACCATACACCCATCACCCCCACCGACCCCCACCGACCCCCACCTCCACCTCCCGCCTTCAAGCCTACCCCCTCACCTGAATGCGGACCCCCCCGCCTGGGTGTTTTTCTTTGGTTTTACCAGTCACATTTGGGGCGCCTGGTCTATTCTCGAGCCCGCGTGTTACAACAGGATCCTCAAAAGGGACTGATTGCACGAAGCCACTTAAAGCCCTGAAGCCTAACCGCACCTTCACACCCGGGGTTGAGGTTGTTTGGTTGTTGGGCAGGCCCAGCCGCGGCGGGTAGTGTGAAATTGAAAAAGGCATGAAAGTTCAAACAAGAAAGAATTTGTCAGACTTTTCCGAAAGCTTCCAAAACGGTTCGTTCTAACTTTTTCGCCTCCCATTTGCGCTTCAATTGTTTCTAACTGTTGGCCTTCACGAAAAGCTTGGCAAGTATTGACGCAAAAGGTCTAAAAGTCTGACAATTTGGCAAATTCCAAAAGAGAGGCGGGAAAGCTTGAAAAGCTGGAAAAGTTAAAGTTTTTTTCGAACTTCTGAGCCTGCTCAATCTTGTAAACGAAAAAAGTTTGAGAGATTGAAATCCGAAACCGTCGTTTCAATCTTTTCGGTCTTTCTAAGCTTGTCAATCCTTTCATTTTGTTCGCCTTCCTTGTGGAATTCTGAACTTTTTCAATATCTTAACTCCTCAAAATGATCAACCGTTCTGATGAACATGCATTTTCACCTTTTCTATCTTTTCAATCCTCTTGCAGTTTTTTAACTTCTCGAACTGTTCAGGCTTGCTCGCCACCAATTCGGAATGATGGTGTATTTCTTGCAAACTTAGGTTCAAGCCTCTGGGTCCCGTCCCGAAACTCCGGGTCTGATCCAGTCGGTTTGGGTTCCTGGGTCGGTTCGCCCGAATCCGCATCCAGTCCCCTCTAAAGTCTACAGATCTCTGAAGTCTCTACGGTCCGGTCCTTTGATTCTGGTCTCCAGGGTTTGGTGACGGCGGTGTCGAGGACAGAACCCCCAATTTGCTCCCCAACGTTTGCATCGGAAGCCGGCTATTCAACATCCAAAACTCTGAAAATGGAAACTGGGCCCGTTTACGTGCTCAAAACCCGGAAGTGGCGACTCTGAAGCCAACCGCGCGCTCAGAAAACTTGAGCTGGGCGAATTATTTGCCCAGAGCTTCCCAGAAAAGAGAGGAAGAGAGAAACCGTTCCTCCTTTTGTTTCCCTTCCCTCTTCTCTCACCCGATACTGCATAGAAAACCAGATAGAGTGAGAAGCGCCCCCTCATCCCCCTTTCCATTCAATTTCGAAACGGAGACAGGAAAAAGGAACAAGCGAGACACGCAGGAAAAGATCTCTTTGCAATCATCATATTTTGTTGATGTTCCTCTTCAGTGCAAAAGAGATCAAAAGAGAGGAGAAGAGCAGGGGACACCACGGCAGCCACCTCCTGCCTGTGCTCTTCTGGTTTCCCAACCCCTCCACTCCTATTTCCTCTCTTCTTTCGCCCATTCCACTTGTTCTGAAAAGAACAAGAAACGGGGGACAGATGACGAGATAAGAAAGACAGACAAAGCAAAAAGTAGGAGGTTGCATGGGAAAATCGTCCTTCTGACCTACTGTTGTTTCTCTCCGTTTACACGTGACAGGTATGGTATTGGGTGTCGACAGCGACTAGTGCAAGTACGGCAAGTGAAACAAACGTGTGCGCCACGTCCAGTGAATCACTAGAAGTTCCACCGCACCCCAAAAAACGTGACCATGTCGTCAACGTCATCTACGACCACATCGAAGCCCCGCGGCATCTCTTTTGGGGAGAAGAGACCTGTCGTGAAGTAACACGGCAAGCCTGGCAAAATTTGAAGAGCACTTGCTACTGAAATCGGGTTTGTTGAGCAGGTCCACGGCGAGATGGCCGTGGAGAAAACGAAAATGCCTCTGCTACTCCTTTGCCAGCCTTCGGCCGCCGGAGCATTGTGCCCTTCACTGCGCGTGTCATTGTAAGACACGTGTGATGCAAGAGCCCACACACACACACACAAAATCTTGACAACAGTGAAGATGCTATCCTCCATTGATGTGCCAAGGTGCACCATGAAAGGATCCAGAGGCTTCGAACTTCTGAAATGCTTCAACGTCGACCACCCCTGCCAAGTCGTGAACGCTGCATGAACAATGCCACATCACCGCATTCCACATGAACAATGCAGCATACTGTGCAGCTGAAAGCGACAATTGGCAAACACGCGTCTGGATTGCAGACGCTTTTTCGGTTGAGGTGTCAAGTTCGCCAGAACTCCTCCGCACCACTGTCAATCGCACACTTTCACTATCAGTGCGCTACGCAAGTCATGAAACCACAGGCAACGCCCTGACATGTCCACATTCCAGTCCTGCTTCTTGTCACGCTGTCATATACGGTACGCTGTCGATGGACAATCGGCACATCAGGATGCCTGAGCAGGGGGCAGTCAAGAAACGCAGGCAGAATCTAGACGATCAAGTTTCGTTCAAGATGAGGCCACGACTGTGCACATGGTGAACCAGCACCTAAAACTTTTTGGAAAGATTCGGACAACACAGGCACATACGGAGACAGCTCAACACACTGATGTCGGCATCTGGGGCTGCCGGTGAGTAGTTTCAAAATTCCACATATGTTTCGTGGCTATTCTTCCTGGCTGCTATCTTACCCAAGCAAACTTCCCAGAAGGGTTGTCGGGCAATCTGCTCTTTGAATCGTCAGGAATCTTCATTCAGCTTCGGTTGCCTGCCTGGACCTGTGCCAATAGCTCCTGGGCCCTGGCAGTGACCAAACATGTTTCGCGTCCGTAAGCTGTCGTAGCCAATAACTGCCCCACGGTTGGGATAAGAAACCTGCCGGCTGCAACTCCATGACGGCTCGTCCAGCACCGCTCTTGTTCGGCTCCATCGCGGGTACCACAAACCGTGGCAAAGTCAAGTTGCCCAAGTGCTCCGTAGGGTGTGGGAAGAGCCGGGTGGGGCACGTTGGGCACAGGGGGGGGGTTCTGATTGGCTTGGAATGGCTAGTTTTGATCAGCTTCTTCGTTCGCAAATTTGTCGGGCCCAAGCGCGCCCGCCCAGTTGCATGCCACCCGACTGCAGAGCCTCCCCTACATGCCGGTGCACCCCTCCACTGCACCTGCACCCGCATGCCGCAACTGCATGCCGGTCTCAGACATGGCATGACACGGCGCATGCCACCTGCATGCCGCCGCGCCCCTTGCGCCGGCAGAGCTGTGGACATGGCGCCACCGGCCGCAGACACCGCAATGCCTGCTGCCCCACCTACTGTACAGGCCACCAGCATGCCCTGCGTGCCTGCTGCATGCCACCACACCCCCTGAGCCGCCGGCGCGGACACGTAATGCCCTGCTTAGTGGGAACCCCGAATAGCTAAAGCTATTTGGGGAAACAAGAGGAGCCAAGAACACGCCGACTTGCTGTAAACGCGAGCCTTGGGAAAACGCACAAGTTTAGTATGTTTATTCTTTTTTGCGGAATGCGCTTCGCGTGGCCCGCGTGGTACAAAAGCCACTTGAACGGTTGTGCGAATGTTCTGGTGGAAGCCGTTTCTTTTTGGGTTAGATGTTGTCACGGAAGTTATCATCGTGCGGACATGGATGCTCTGAACATTCGCACGGCTGGTCACACGGACGTTATCATCGTGCGGACATATTCGCACGCACTGGTCACACGGATGTTATCATCGTTCGGACATGGATGCCCCGCACTGGTCACGCAGATGATATCATCGTGGGGACATGGATGCTCTGCCCGAATGACGAAGAAAAAGCAAAAGTGCCGTAAAACACAGAGGTTTTGCACACGGACAGTAAAACACGATGTTTTGCGGAATTAGCAGCAAGAGGGACCCCCTCACTCATCCCCAATGCCGTCTGATCCCCAAGGGTGAAACATCAAAACAGCTTGATAGACATCAAAAAATATTTGCCTCAGGCTCCATCAAGAAAAGAATTGATAGACATCAAGAAAATTTGAGCAAGCAATAACACCGCGCTCGCACGATTGGGTCTTGGAAAGGATTCATATGATTTTCGCAGCAAGCATAACACGGCTTAGAACTAGGTTGAAAACAAGCAGAGGAGTTTGGGGGGGGGGCCGCTCCCCCATTTGCAAACCACACCGTCGCATGATGATGGGATTTGAAAAGGATTCATACGCTTTGTAGCAAGATTGCACGGCTTACAACTAGGTCCTAAAACAAGCGTGGGCGTTCATGGGGTTTGGAGATGACGGCCGAGAAAGGATTCATATGACTGTTGCAGCAAGCATGGCACAGCTTAGAACTAGGTCCTGAAACAAGCGGGCGGTTGGCAAAGGAGTGAGCCCCTCCCATGTGCAAACACCACGCAAACGCAGTCCTCGCATAAAGGATTCATATGATTTTGCAGTAAGGATTACATGCACAAGACAAGCAGGAGGGGAGACGGTGCGGGGGTAGTATTTCTTTCATGCTAGGAATGAATATTAAATAGGGCAGTACATCAGAATATATAATTCGATGTTCACTAGTAATACGCACTACTATTCGAATGAATACAAATGAATATCACTGAACATGACTCTGATATTCTAGACCGGATCGAAAGACCAAGGGACGAGAGGACCACGGACCACGGGACCAGAGGAACCAAGCAGACCAGAGGACCAGAACAGCAGGGGACCGGAGGAACCTTGTTCATCCTTCTCAGAATATTCTTTGGTGTTATCAAATTTGTTCTTGATACCTATGCCAACGGGATCCAACGGGAGTAGTGCTCATCATAGCTCAAACACAATAACATTGCAGTCTGGATGGCTCGATGCAAAAGCACGACTGGGTCGGCTGCTCAGCAATGCTCTGCCAGGTGCAGGCTGTCATGCTTTATTGAATTTTGTTGGGGAACGGTGCACCAACTCAAACTGAACATGGCACTTGTGACCTGAATGGTCCGAAGACGGTCTTGGATGACGCCCGCACGTGCACGCGCACCACAGGGTCACCACAGAGTCACCGCAGGGTCACCACACCCCACGATCCCGAGGCTGATTGTGATTACGAACCGGTGGCTGATTGTAATTGTGGGCTGATCGGCTAATGGAGATGGTTGCTCTTGACACAAGGTGGTACGAGTAGTGTGCACTTCAGAAAACCTCTCAGAGACTTATGTACGGATGTGTACAGACTTCGTGTACTTCGGGCTGTACTGGCACCGGCTTGTGCGAGGCTCTCGCTTGAGATTGTCATTGCGAACGCTTGCAATACAAAAAAAGCTGCATGCCCTGCGTTTCCTCAGCCTCGATGCTTCTCAATGCCATGCAAATCGGCAAAATTAAGCTGAGGCACAAACCCAGACTCTCTGTGCATGTTGAGCTGCTCAGAGCAGCCTGGCACACCACAAGACTCCTTCGCATCTCAAAACTTTGCCATAGCTGCTATAGCTGGATGACTTTTGAAGCTCTTGAAGCCAACGGGACAGGGACAGGCTTTGCGAGCTTGGCTGACAAGTTGATCATTTGAGGTCTGAGCCCAGCCGCCAGCCAGCAGTGGGTTGCTCAAGTTCCCCTGAAGACTCTAAGACAAGCAATGCAAAAAGTATCCCCGCATCGTCAAAAGACCTGAAATGGCCTACAATTCGCAAGTCCTCAATCCGAGAGCCGCACATATCTCTGCTGCGGGGATTTGGCAACACCGGTACTGAGCATGAGAAAGGCTATGTGACTAAGAAGAGGCAGCCAGAAATTGCGCGCTGCGCACTCTTTCGCCCTGTTGCTCATCAGGCCTTGTCGGTGACCAGCCTCCCAGTGATCCAATTTCGGACTCTCATTCCGGACGAATACCATGCGCTTGTCGGCGTGTTGAGCGTTTGCCTTCGTGAGCTTCAAGTAGCTCTATTGCCGAATCTAAGAAGGAGTCCACGATGGCGCTTGTAGCGCAATCCACCTGAGAGACTCAGACAGCTGCAAGCAAAAAAGGCAGGCACTTCACGCACGCACACACACACACATGTCTTGACAAACTTGACAGATCATGGCTATGTACAAGACGACGAGCTCGGCAAGAATCTCATCGTCTTGCAAAAGCTGGCACCTTACACAGGACAACGATCCCGCACTACCCCAAGCTCCAATGGCAATGCCAGGCAACCTGACCCGCACAACGTGGCAAAGCTGGCAGCAAGGAAACAACTAACTCTGGGTTCAGGGCCACTTCTCCGGAAAGAATGCCTTGAAACTACTCACAAACCTCAATATGCCACTTTCCAATGGTAATCTGCGTTGGGCCTATCTGGGCTTCTAGCTTCGCAGGCATCCCGCGTGGTTGCGCGTCCCTGGCCTAGACTGCTGAACTGCAGAGACTACAACGCCCTAGTCTTTGGGCTTCCAGTCAAATCAAAGCGTGCCGCCTGAAGTATTCGCGATCGGGAGCATTGTTGGGAAGTTTCGTGCTCGCAGGGCTTCTTTCACCTTGCGTAGGTCATGTCCTGTCTTGTGAATGGAAAGCATCTCCTTGCTGTACCCTTTGCAATCCGTGGTTAAGTGCTACCAAAATGCAGGGTTGTCCGACAGACTAGACGAGGGTGTGATTCGGAACCGAATGAAACAAGAAGAAAATGAGGGAGATTGTGGTAGATTCTTGCGCTTTGAAAAGTTTCCCTCTCGGGCCTGAAGATTGGAGGATTGTGCGTTTGTCCATCGTTCGCGGATGCGCCTTCCCTGGGCGGTGTCCTGGCACAGACGGCTCTCACTAAAGAATGAGACTTCATCATGCGAACAAAACTAGCTTTTGCGAAAACAATCCTCTTCCCAAACAGTCCACAGAAGCACGGGGCATTCAAAACCTGATAGAGGCCACGAACCCGAACTTAGGTAGAGACTCAGCAAGACCACGACAAAACAAGTCGTTCGATGAAACCGCTCGGTGCGACTCACCGAGTGACCCCGCGTAAAGATGACGGTGGACCACCAAAACTACCACCAACACCACCGCCCATGCCACCACCACCGTCGCCGCAACACTCGCTGGTTCGCGTACACTGGGAGACTCTACGCTCTTACTCGAAGCAAAGACGAGTTGTCTTGGCCTACCTCACAGAAAGGTACACGGTGAAACAAGCCAACAGGCCACGTTTCTCCGAGCGTCGGTCAGCACGTGCCTTGGGCACCTGCCAAACTCCCAGGTGTCGTGACGTTAGGGTCTACGACAGTCGCCTAAAACGAGCAGAGCTGTTCGCCCTGGCCGCTTTCCCAGAACTCAAGACCTGCCTGTAGCCTCAGAAGGACCACTTTTCCTTGATGGGGCGTAGTCTAGCGACCCGACGGAGTCATCAAAACAGCTCTAGCCAGGGTCACGCCTTTCCTTGCAAGTGGACGCGAAAGGGAACCTTCCAACCTCTCCTAGATGCCAACGGGAACTAGCATGAAGCCCGCAATTGATTCCAAGGATGCTCCCGATGCACACATTCACGGAACGCTCAAACATCTACGAGCACGACGAAATCAGCCTGTCGAAAAGGATCGTGAATACTCCAGCGCAAGTCAATGCGACATCGATGAAAATATTTGTCCCCCGCGTCTCCCCCCCGGCCCGTGCGGGGGAGTACGCTTTTCGGACAATTCAGGCCCCAAAGCTGCCAGATTGTGTACTCCCCCGCGTGCCTCCCTGCTTCCCCCCCCCTTTCTCGGAGGACTCAAGCCACAAAGCTACTCCCCCGCTTGCTTGTGCTCTGCTCCCCGTACGCTTTTCAAGCCAGAGAGCTGCCAGATTGCACAGTGTAGGTTTTAGGGTTTTCTAGGGTTCAGCCCCCCCAAGGTGAGCACAAACCTTGAATGAAACGACGGCTCTTGTCATACGGTTTAGGGTACCCTTATAGTGACATGCACTGAATGCGAACCGTCCGAACCGCCGAACCGAACCGTGCGAACCGAAACGGACTGGAACCGAACCGCGCATAATTAAGGTTCGGTTCTCAGAAACCGAACCGAACCGAACCGTGGCAACCCTGATTTGAGGCTCTTGCGCTGGACCACAATGAAAGGATGGGCAATCTTCTCTCCCCGATTGCCCCCACCCTCGTTCAATTCATGTGTATATGGTGCATGCTTCTGGACGGGACAGCGCGGCCAGACATGACCAGTCAGGAGGGCAGATCGGCGCAAGACACGCGGCACATGGCGGCGCACGTGACAGACTGGTACGGCTTGTCTCGACAAGGCAGCGGCATTTCTGGACTCCTGTGTGACGGACCGGATCACGTTCCAAGGCAAACCCGAACGACGCTGACAGTTTTCCCCCCCAACATATGGCAGCACGAAGCAACTTCAAAGACTTTTCATGCACCGGAGCATGAACTCGGCCAACTGCTTCAGGGAAAGTCCCATACAACCCACTCATCTGCGTGATTCTGCGCGGTCTTCGAAGTCGACATGCCAATGTCCCGGATCGAGAACACTCCATTCCAGCGGCGGCCGTCTTTAAAGAAATTCACGGGCCCATGGGCCGACCAGCTCACGGGATCACAAGCGCACGCCACAGACACACGGGCTCAGGGGATCACATCCTGGCAAGATACTCACCAAAGCCGTCCGTAATAAAATTCACAATATTTGCGTCGAGAGGCCAAAAACTTTCGGACGGTGCGCTTGTGCCAAGCTTTTACGAGACAGGTGATTATACGCTGGGAGTGGGAGAATATGGCCAAGGTGTGCTCATAAATTCGTCCTGCACTCTTGATCCGCGAGAGAGATCACTTTATGGTGGCAAGAAGACTTGAAATCAAACATCTGTCTGAACACTCTGCAGTGGCATTTACTGGCCGGCTGCGAGTACGTCTGCGACTTCGAACCACTCAATGGCCAAAACAGCGAGGCGCGGATCAAGAGCTTGCGTAATATGGAAATGGAGGAGCGCTTTCAGAATTTGCCTGAGATGCGTGAATCTATTCTGCTAGTGAAATTGAGATTGGTGTCACGAGTACTTTTTCAAACTTTGAACGTTTGAGAGTTTGAAAGGAGAAATGACCATTGAAACTTTGGAGTTTGAAAGGTTACAAGTTTGAAGAATGAAAACGATGAACGACACGGAGGTCGAAAGTTTGAAGTTTGAAAGATTGAAAGAGGTTCGAGGTTCGAGCTCGAAGGCTTGAAGCACGAGCGAGTTCGAAAGCTTGAAGCCGAATCCCTGAATCCAAGGCAAACACGGGACCGGGCCTCGAGTTCGAAAGTTTCAGTTTGAGTTTGAAGTTTGAAAACCATACGAGTTTGAAAGTTCGACGTCTGAAACTTTGAAGTTTGACGACACTCGAACACGAAAAGATTGATACTTTGCTAATTCGCGTGATTCGTGCTTTGCAGGTTCGAACGGCACGAGTTTGAAAGTTTAAGAGTTTGACAGCACGTTCAGACCACATCGACTGCCGCGAATGTCAATGTCACACTGCACAGGCGAGATTCCTACATTGTCTGAACTCCCACAAACCCTCGCAGTTGAACCCCCCCAACTCTCCTTCAACGCCCCTAAACGATCTGGGGTGTAAGCGACTACTGCCGTAGTAAGCCCGAAAAAATCCTTGACGAGCCAAGGAGTAGGCGTTTTTTTATATAGGGTTCAGAGCTCGGGGTTCAGGATTTAGGGTCTGGTTATGCGGGACTTTTTATTGTTTGGCTTCAAGAGCTCTATAAGCCCCAACGCCCTGATTCGGGCTCCAAAAAATCTCGCGAGTTCAAGCCTGAACCGCAGGACTCGTAGCGAGGGCCCTTCACGAGGGTTAAGGATTTAGGGTTTAAGGTTTAAGGTTTAGGGTAGCACCCGAAATCCTGAGCCTTATTATCAACCCCAAGCCCGTGGAATTAAGCAATCACCCTGAACTAACCCTCTTACCTCTACCCCATCTCCCTGCCTCCTGCCCCTCACTACCACTCTCTTACCCCTACTCGAAGAATGAAACACAAGAAACAAAACAGGAAACGAGAGGGGGTGGAATTTAGAATAATTCTCTCGACCACCACTTCTCCTACTCGAGGAAGGTAACACAAGAAACAAAAACAAGAAACGAGGGGGGTGGAGTTTAGAATGATTCTCTCGACCATCACTTCTCCTCCTCGAAGAATGAAACACACGAAACAAAAAAAAAGAAACGAGGGGGGTGGAATTCGAAAAACTCTCTCGAACACCACTTCTCCTGCGACTTCGGTTCTCAAAGAATGAAACAGAAAAACAACAAACAAGCGGGTGTAATTTAGAATGATTCTCTGGACCATCACTTCTCCTACTCGAAAATGAAACACAAGAAACAAAAACAAGAACGAGGGGGGTGGAATTTAAAATCATGCTCTCGGCCATCACTCTCCTACTCAGAGAATGAAACACAAAAATTACAAGAAACGAGGGCGGTGGAATTTATAAGGATTCTCCAATTGGTTCAGGAGTCCAAGTGTTTTGTGTTCCGGACTTCAGCACGACGATAGCACGGAACCCCAAGATCCCAAACCCTCTACCAAAGAAAACCATCAAGTGCTCCGAAGGTGTGACACGGGTTGCATTACTTCAATGAGCCGGCTCACGTGAAACTCATGAGCGCCCGCTGCTTGCACGCGCACGTGACGTTTCAAATATTCTACCTCTCAAACCTTCGAACTCCAAACGTTCAAACTCGGGAAACTCTCGAACTCAAAGCTCTCGTCTTGTTTCAAACTCGCGAACTCGCGAACTCGAACGGCCGCCAAACTATCGTTCCGCGTAACATTCAAACTTTTCAAACTCGAACGGGCTTCGAACCTCAAACCCTCAAACATCCTCAAACTCCGGCTCTTTCAAAAGCTCAAACTCGCAGCGTCGTGGCCGCCCTAACCTACGCATAGCCTCAAACTCCGAACTCGAAACTTTCAAACTGTCAAACTTTGAAACTTTCAAACTCGGTCGCAGCTCAAACTTTCGAGGTCGAGATGCGTCAAACTCTCGAGCTCTCAAGCTCGAAACTCCGTCGAACCCCAAACTTTCAAAGCTTGATTTGTTTTCAAAGTCGGGATCGCACAAGTTTGGAGATTGAGCTCGAGTTTTCGATCGTTCGGAATTTTGAAACATTTCAGAGTTCGAAACTTTTAAAGGTTGAAATTTGAAGATTGAAAGAGACCTCCCTTCACGTATTTTCAAAGTGCAAATTCGAAATGCTCGTGCATTCAAACACTTAAAGTTCTAAATCTTAGAAACTTTCGAGCTCGAACGTCTTCGAACACTCAAAGTCTCAACTTCGAAGTACGTCGCTCGTGATGCCCTTCGAAATTGATGGTATGTAACCGGCATGTCTATGCATTAAGATGCCGCATCGGTAGGTAGGGGCCAGAATTTGATGCAGCCTCATTGTCGGCAATCTTGGCCTTCAAAAGTTCAAGAAAGAACGCAGAAAACTGCCAGGAATGACGAAAGTTACCCCCCCCCCCGCCTCCCCAACTCTAAAACGCCCCTACGCCGCTACGCATTTGAACTAAGTGCCCAATCCTGGTTGATGCTGGCAACGATGTGCTCAAGCAGTCTGTCTTGAGCTGCTTCGAGCAACTGGGAGCAACGAGAACGGAGACGGTGCATGTTGCTCTTTCTATGAGAGAACGCACAAATCTCTTGCTTGAGAACTGCAGAGAACTGCAGAGAACTGCAGAGAACTGCAGAGAACAGCAGAGAACTGCAGAGAACTGCAGAACAATCTCGCTTTCTTGGTAACGACTGAGAGCTCAGTACTCGAAGTCTCGAAGCAAATCGCAGCAACTCGCTCGCAGCTGTTGGAAGCGGACCTGCTCTTTGCCAGGGCCTCTCGCACCAAAAGCAAAAATTCACTCACACTCAACTCTGCGTCAATGAAAGAACCCCACCAAAAGGAGACACCAAAAGGACACCCAAAAGCACTGGTGGGATACTAAGAAGGAACTTGACAAGCACACGAAGCTCTCGCGCCTTCTGAACTTCCCAAACCTGCGCCAGCCGAACTGCATCGCAGCTTTTATGCATGTCCAGCGTAACGCAGAGATGCATTGTCTGCATCTCACCTTTGGCAGGCAACTCGTCTAAGAAGCCCTTGAAGGTGTCACGCACGCCCTGGACACAACAGCGATGCAACATGGCAGAACTATGGACATCTGATGCCACTTAGACACCGCACGCCCTGAGGCACCTTCCAGGCACGACCTGCCTTTGCGGGAGATAAGCGGGCAGCCTGTGTCACAGCATCCAGTCAAGACACCGACCTAGACGAGTAAAACATCGAAAGCCAAACAACTGTCTGCAACTCACTGTAGAATGCTGTATAGAGTTTGCAGATGTATTTCACGTTTGCTTTCAAAACCAAATTTCGCTGGATGCCCTTGGCGCGCAACCGACATTTCCAACTTGAGCAAAAGAGTTGTCAAAATACAATAAGCTGGCCAACGCCAGCCCGCCTCGAAATTGCACAGGCGCTCGGTTCGATTCAACGGCGTAACTCTGCTGACCCTCGTGTCGACATATGTCTACTTTTATCCACTTTATACTCCTTGTTGATGCCGGTCAAAGTGCGTGCGCATTAGATTAGCTAGTTTCGAGGCTTGAGGCGTCGGCATTCGAATCCGTCATGACGTCTGAGCTGACTCCGGTCACAAAGCTCCTGGAAACATCACGCAAATCTGGCAAACGTGCTGCTGATCAAATTCATTTTCCTGGTGAACAATTCGAAATGCATCCAACCCGAAACCTGGTCAACGGCTGAGTCCTTTGGAGGTGACCCGGTCACGCTGACGTCATGTCATCACCTGCTTCCAAGCCCGGACACTCAAACGAACCAAGCACTTACTACGGCAAAATTTTGCCGAGCATAAACAGGGTTTCTCTTTACTTACTCCATTTTTGCTGATATGATACTTGTATCTCTGCATAATTATGTGAAACAAAGCTGTGTGAATCCATCAACTCCTGATTTCCAGCATGCTTTTTGCTTTTGCCATCTTTCAATCTGGGCAGGCAGGACTTCAGTGACTCTAGCGATGTGACTTCAAGAGTGCTGACTAGCAGCCAGTGGCATTGGAGGGAACACGTGATAAAACTAAAGAAACCTGGACACAAACCGTGCCAGAAGTACGCCACGAACATCTCCGGCATTCGCGGCTGCGGCTTGAGCCAAGCTTGTTCATGCGAACATCGACACATCGACATGCGTCTTTGGGGGTTCACCATACATGAGCCGATTGCATGGTGCACTCTTTCTGTTGAGCTCCGTGCTGTCATGTGCAGTCATTGCCGCACACCCGGGTAGAGCAACAGGTTTCCAAGGTTTCCCAGCAAATGGACGCCCAAATGCCACGGGGTGCTAGTGTGAAACTCCTTGCGGGCAGCATGATGCCTAGCGCGCAGATACATCGTCACAAAAACGACAGTCAGCAGCGAATAGCCTGCACAAACAGACATGGCGGTTTGTGTTGAAACATTGATATGGCCAAAGCCTGCTGGGCCAAGGGCAGGCACCAATGGTCCACTTCCTTGGAGGCCATGTCCGGCCAACTAAATTACCCTTCAACAAGCGCTCAACAAGGTGTAGCGGTGTAGCGTTCTTGCAAGCGAAACTCCCATCAATGGCCGAAGAGGAGAGGTCAGCAAAGCTGAACCAGATGCATTGATTCCACCACCGGTGACACCCCAAGCCACACACATGTGGTATCTGAGTTCGTACTCCGTGCTTGCGACGCGGCTTCACACAGCACTGCACAAGATACACATCTTCACATCCGCTGAGTTTACATACAATGGCTCGGCTTGCAAGCTCAGGCGCATAACTGTTACTGCAACTGCAAGCATATCCACGTGTCGGCGCATTCCAAATGTAGGCTCACGCCAATAGTTCAGCCCGGCCAGCAAAACGACAAAGGCAAGGCAACAGCAACCCCAGCACCTGCAACGGGCAATCTGGATCTGTTGCTGTTCAGATACTCATTGAAATCCGGAACACCAACCATGCTGCTCTCAAGGGGTTGCCTATGAACGGCCGCACCCAGCGTCATGATGGAGAATTGCCCACATGAATAGAACAACCATCCTCAAACTGCATCCACGAAACGAATCAGTTGGCAATGCAAGCATTATCTCGAAACTAGCCCCAGCAAGTGGTGGAGCGTTCGCTTGCAAAGGTCCCAATGCCAACAAAACTCTGCAGTATGGCATTGGTACGACCAGCTGCTTCTTTGCGACGCGAACAGGCATGTAGCGTCGTAGATGCTGACGTGGACAAATCCTGAGAAGACGGACCATTAACCTTTCGAGAATACATGATGCTTTGGCACGCAATGCGAACACACCTGTAGAGAGTTTTGCATCACGTGCATCTGCCAAGCAGCAACCCGGAGCGAAACCCCGGCAAAGCCTGGTTGCACATTGCGACCTTCATGAAGGATATTGCGGCAAGTTCCTCTTAGCGCGGCGTCGAAGGATCGCCAATGCGATTGCGACATTCACAAATATGTACATGTATATATATATATATATATGCTAATTCCATGAGCAACACCAACAAAAACAGCATGAGAACTACAAGGTTATTATTTTGTGTTGCAACATTGTATGGTCTCAGGGCTTGGAGCCTGGGAAACCGCCAGCACCTACAAAAAATCTTTACGCTCTGAATTATGATGCTCGCAAACAAGAAGTTGGATTCTAAGAAACTAGTTTGTTTTAGTCTGGATCGCTGCCTAAAACTTCTAAACGCACTTACAACCTCAACGAAAAGGTCTCACAAAAAGCTCAGCAATATTCCGATGAGAATCGATCTGCTTCATTTGTTCGCCAAACATTTTGCCAACCATGGGGGTTCCAAACAAACAGAACCTTAGATTGATTCGAGATACACCCACGATACACTGGTCACAACTGGAGCGAAAACCGTTGTTTTGCCAGAGCGCGGATCGGATTCCTCAGGACCTTGAAACATCGCGAATTCCATGCTTTTGGCTTCGTGGATGGTGTCGAATCGCACGATCACCTTTTTGCGGGTCGAAATCGTGCTCTCCATCCAGTGGGTCCCGTGCACCTCTTTCTCTCTTTCTCTCTTTCTCTCTTTCTCTCTTTCTCTCTTTCTCTCTTTCTCTCTTTCTCTCTTTCTCTCTTTCTCTCTTTCTCTCTTTCTCTCGTTCTCTCTTTCTCTCTTTCTCTCTTTCTCTCTTTCTCTCTTTCTCTCTTTCTCTCTTTCTCTCTTTCCCTCTTTCTCTCTTTCTCTCTTTCTCTCTTTCTCTCTCCTCTCTCTTTCTTTCTTTCTCTCTTTCTCTCTTTCTCTCTTTCTCTCTTTCTCTCTTTCTCTCTTTCTCTCTTTCTCTCTTTCTCTCTTTCTCTCTTTCTCTCCCTCTCTCTCTCTCTCTCCCTCTCTCTTTCTTTCTTTCTCTCTCTCTCTCTCTCTCTCTCTCTCTTTCTCTCTTTCTCTCTTTCTCTCTTTCTCTCTCTCCCTCTCTCTCTCTCTCTCTCTCTCTGTCTGTCTCTTTCTCTCTTTCTCTGTCTCTCTCTCTCTGTCTGTCTCTGTCTCTCTCTCTCTCTCTCTCTCTCTCTGCGTTTTGGGCCGTTGGATGATGTCCGGCTTTGAAGGCTTCTAGGCTTTCAAACTTTAAGGATATTTGGAGCTTAGGATTCGGGGGGTGTAGGGTTTGGGCGCTTGGGTTTGAGGATATCGCGTCGTGTGCATCGACGTTGCCATCCAAGCAACTGTCGTCGTTACATGTCTGGGTTCGCGAAATGCGAACCTGTCGCTTTTGGACGTCGGACTTCGCCAACGCGAATCTAAGCGCCGGGGAACTCGATTGGACTTATTTGGAATTGAATCCACAGCCATCTGATGTCTGTCCTCTTCCATGGGCACAGCCTCATTCCCATCAGGAGCTTCTCCTTCAACGTATCCAGGTTCGCAGGTTCCATTGCCTCATCCGGAATCCCACCATATGGCAAACTCGGATCCTCAAACTCATCCATATCAACGTCCACAACCTCTGTCGGAGGTTTCGGGGCACTTTGCCTCTCCTCACCTTGGTTGACTCTCATGGGTGATCTTAGGACGTTTCAGGAGTGAAGGCTCGCTTCCAGATTCCATCACCCCCGCATCCTTGAAGCTTCTTGGGCTCGTATCCAGAACTTCAGTCGGCTCTGCTCTTTCCAACCTTTGTCGCTGATTCTTCAACCAGTCGTGATACCGCTTTCGGCATTCAGCATTGTGATTCGTTACCTCTTTTCGGTCCACACGCTGGACAATTCACCTTTCCTCCATGCTCTTTCACCCATGCTGCTGGTGGTCCCACTTTGCTCATGTCTGTGGTCGGACCATCAGACACTCTGCCCTCAAAGGCCTTGTCCGGTTCACCGTCAATCTGATCAGGCACACCATCCTCTTTCTCCTTCAGAATGGAAGGAGCCAATGTGTCCGAAGGATCATGCTCCTTGACCATAGCATTCACCGCATGAATCAAACCACCAACTGCTTGACACCAGAGAGCGCTCTGCTGCATCCAACTTCCAGGTCCCTGACGCCCCAAGTGCAGGAGAAAACAACGCACGGTATGCTGTGGAGGAAGCAGATCGTGTTGTTGTCTCTCAAAAAGGAGGCGTACTCAGAGAAGAAAGAGCTGCACTTTCCTTGAAAAGAAAGGGGACCATTCTTCGACATCGGCTGTGCAGGCATGATGCATCGATGTCGCTGGCCAGCGCAGTAAGGTTGCCTCGTCTGGCTACGCAAACCTGAATAGTGGCGGAGCCCACTGGCAGAGCGCAACTCTGACATGTCTCAGGAATCCCAACAGGGATCAACAGCCCCGCGTCGCACCTCCGTCCTACTGCTTGAGCCGGCAGACGTGCGACAGCATTTGATGCAGGCACTGCGATGCCTGGCTTCTGGTAAGCATGCAGACAACACCCTTCTCCACAGCTTGGCGTAAAGTAAAAGCACGCTCATGTGTCAAAATCGATCGGAGAAAAAGACATCTACCCTCATCTCTTCTGCGAGCAGCCAATCTGGATCGCTTAGAATGGACCAACAATGTACTCAGGGTTCTTGCCACGTCGAGTTGTCGGACCGTGAGGCTCGGGAGCCCAAGAGCACTTCGAGACTGTAGCCCTTGTACACAGTAAAATGCGATTCCTCACACAGACACTCCATCACCGGCAAGACCCGCGTGTTGCCTCTGAAGCTGTGGCCGTGCCGTTGCAATCAAAAACTTCCACGTCTTTGCTGCCGCCACAAGCACGCGGATGGTCTCATCCGTCGGGGCGGCCAATGGGTACGGCACCAATCCCGATAGCATGCGCCGGCATGGAGAGGCAAGGGCTCACTTCTCTTCGTGCTGCCTGAAGCAGGTCAACGATCTGCGGGGTATAGGTGGCCTTGGTCCAGTCGGTGCCGTCAGACAGCGTCCAGACTGGTGGTGATTCTGCTTCTCCTGCCGCAGGCCAGGCGCATGCTAAAATCATGCTGGAAGGCTAGGTTGTCCCACAAGTGCTCCACGCAGCCTTGCCACGGTAAGATGTAGGTTCGTTTGTTGCTTGGGGTGGTTTAAGATTTTTGTAAAAGAAGATCTAAACCCAAATGCGATTTGTTTATTAAATCCTTCCTAAACATGGTTCATCCACGGTGAGTCTTCGACATAAATACCCTCCTTCAGTCCAAGAACACTTTGTTTTTTGAAGCTCTTCTTCCCAGAGTTGCTCACATACACCACTGGATGCAGCAAAGACACTCTTGGCACGAGTTCCTACCAGCGCTGAGCAGATGCAGAAGCAGTACTCTCAGTTCCTTGCAGGTCCTGAATATGACAATGGTTCGGAAGAAGGCCGGTCTGCAAACTTTGTCATCTTAACCAAAGCTGCCCCGATGACCTTGCCCAAACCATCGGGTGCATGCTGCCTTGTTGTGATGTCAGCCAAGCACCGCTTCTGCAATGTGCTGCAATACCTGGTGCCCCAACTAGAACTATTACTTATAGAGCCGCCATACCAAATGAGCGCCAGTGTACCTTTATCCAAAGTCATTGCTTGCTTTGTGGCTTGGGGGCAAACACGACCGAACATTGGCTTACTGCCTGCGTAGTCACTAAAGCCCCATTCTTCATTGTTCTAGTTAGCCACAGTGCCCTTCCCAAGGCCGATAGTGAGGGTGAGGTGGACAAAAAATTCTGTGCAACCCTGCTAGCATGGCTTGCAACTATTCGAAGGTATGTCATGGAAGAGCAATGTACCTGGCACCCTGGATGGTGCGAAAAACCACAACGAGCAAAGCACATCAATAATATACCCAAGCTTGCTTCGCGCCTTTGGAATACCATCCCGCGGATGCTGCTTCCCAAAACGTTACCAGCATGGTGGATTGACACGGAACGTTGCAAACCCTGTTGCAATGACGGTGGGCTTTCAATCGAGGTTAAGCATCCTCTCTCTGCCTTAATCAAAGCAAGTGCCCAAGGTGTTACCATCTCTCCCAAGAACGCCAACATAGGAGATGTCTTAGCGACTTTAGATGCCCAGCACTACCAGACCCTAGGTGTTCCTAATGTCGCTCTTTGGCCCAAAATGTGTCACTGCGGCAACCTGCACCTAAAAGTAACTGCGTTGAGGCCAATCCCTGCTAGTACGCCACTTATTGTGGAATTAAAACCGGTCAAAGATACACACCTTGTCGCCCAATTTGATGGCAGCTGCCATGTGCAAGAAAATATTGGTGGAGCGGGTGGTATCGTTTGGTCACCTGGGCCTGTCCCAGTAATTCTCGACACGATCGCCATCCCGCTTCAGCCTTGCCCAGACTCTATAGTTTGCGGAAATATATGCCGCTGACGCAACGCTGGACAAGGCATTACTCCTTGCTGCTGGCAATCAAATTGAGGAAGTTGTCATTCAAGGTGACTGCATTAACATTGTTAAGCATTTCGCTGGAGCCTTGAGACTCCACAGGGAGGACCTTGTGCGAAAACTTGATGCAATGTGGCAAAAGCTTTCGCACACTTCCATTAAGGTGCACTGGTCATATGTCCCTCGAATTGGCAACAAAGTTGCTGACCATTTAGCGGGAATCGCTGCTGACAGCCTTCGCTATGAAGCACCCCTTTGCGAAGATGTCTTCTTCGATTCGGGAGGGGCCCCATATGCAAATCAACACTGCGCAGTTTCCGCCTATCCTGCTGCTCCCAAACAATGGCATGTACAGGCCAGACAGAATCTTGAGTCTGGAGCTGAAATTATCTCCCTTGAATCCCGCCACTCTGGAACCCTGAACTGCTTTTGCGCTTTTGTGTCTACAATCGTATGAAACCACCGGCGGAACTTGACACGTCGTGGCCAGGGACTACAGAAGGCCATCCTCGCATCTCAGGGAAGATACTATGCCATCCGGCACTGGCAAACGAGTAAGAGGCTAACACGTTT